TCTCCAGGGCTGCAGAACTCCAGTATGAGTCCACAGTTGTGCTAGCAGACAATGCTGTGAGATCCCCAGCACTTTGGGGCAGGGAGCAGGCTGGCAACTAATCCCTCCCATCCCCAACTTCACAGATGCCCCCTGACCTTCCATAGCCTTTTATCCACCTCAGAGAGAAGTAGAGGATTTTAGCCCCATCCAGCTGGACCCTCAGACTGAGGTTTCCCTGACTATTATCAGACCCCAGGTCTCATGCACAGTGACTCACTAACTGGGTTCAGGTTAACAGCTTTTTTTTTTTCCTTTTTGTCTTTTTTACTGACCGGTAACGGGATCGCAACCCTCGGGATTGCGCCCACACCGGGGACTGGCAACGGGATCGCAACCCTCGGTGTTGCGCCCGCACCGCGCTCAGCCAGTGAGCAGGAACCGGTCTCCACATGGGATCCGAACCCTCAGCGGGAGTGCCGCCGCACTCCCAAGCGGCACACTCTCCAGTGCACCACCGGGCCGGCCCCAGGTTAACAGCTTTTGACTCTACTGAGTAAATATGCTGTGGTCATGAAAAGATGAATTTTAGTCCATCCTGGAAAGTCTAACCTCATACCTTTTGATCATTTTCAAAATCTCTCAGTCTAGTTAATATCAGGTTGGTACTGGACTATTTCTGAGGTTTAACCCTATATAGCACAAAAAAATAAAATAAAATAAAAACTTTAAAAAGTAATAATAGCTAACATTTATTGAGGGATATCTGCCCAGGAATAGTTCTAAATGCTGTGTTTGTATAATCTCACTTAATTCACAACGACCCTGTACCTATGAGGTAGGTACTGTTATCCTTCACATTTTTAAAATAAGAAAAGTGAGGCATAGAGAGTTTGAGTAGCTTGCCCAGAGTCATACAGTAGGGATGTGACAGAGTCAGAAATGGACACTTAGAGCCCACACTCTTCTCCATGCTAAGGCTGCACCACCCCGTAAGTCTGCAGTTTATTTACATCTGCAGTCACCAGCACTGATAGTGGGCACTGGATGGCAGAATGAGCTGCAAGGGAGCCGACACCAGACTGAGTAACAGATAGACCTGGGTGCCTGGCCCAGAGCTTTAGGAATGGCTGTTATCTGTGAAATGGCCTTCATTCATACCTGCATCCAATGCTGTTTTTCTTTCATCTTCAGCTTGGATTGGATATGGAGGAGTTAGAAGAAATTGAAGAAGATGCTGGGCTTGGCAATGGTGGTCTTGGGAGGCTTGCTGGTAAGTAACATTGTGAGTGTGTTAGGTTTTCTGGCCAACTGATACCTTCTCAGATGTGAGTCATGACCATGCTTGGGAGAACCAGACAGGCTTCCTAGAAGAAGTGCAAGTTCTGGCTTGTTTTAGATGTATTAGTTCTTGAGTGTGTACTGTGGTTTGGGCAATTCTAGACAAACAGTCAAAAACAGAACTTGAAGAAAAGAGACATTGCTCAAAACCCTTAGAGACATTGCTTAAAACCCCAAAGTTAACCAGATCCTTCCTGTGCACTTAAAGGTTTCCAAAGCGTCCCCTTTACTTCACTATTGTTTGTTCATAACTGCTCAATTCACATACTTGTGTGGTATGACCTAACTTGTTTAACCCATGTCTTGCCTTGAGCACTTAACAGTTTGCTTTTTGATTGACTAATGGGCAATGATACACTTATATTTTTGGTATGATTTAATTAATTAATATCTTTGTGTGTGTGTGTGTGGATGCAATAGAAGTTTTTGCTTTATCCAGGCAATGATTTTTCAGCAAATATAGAGAAAAACATTAAATATACAATACCAGCTCCATTAAATTAAAAATATGCACCCCTATGACCAAGCAGTTCTACTTCTTGACATCTACCCTAGGGAAACACTCAAACATGTGACCAAGAATATATGTGAAAAAAAACTTACAGTGTTATTTGTAAAAGCAAAATACTAAAAATAACCTAAATGTCCATCGTTAGCAGAGTGCCTAAATAAGTGCTGAAACATCTGTATTACAGAAAAATATGCAGCAGCCTAAAAGAATGATATTGATCTATATGTACTTCCCTGGATAGATCTCCAAGTTATAAAAGTCAAGTTCCATTTAAAGCCATACAATGTGATACCATTTATGTTTTTTAAAAATTAGCTATTTTCTGTGAGTGTGTATATATTTTATACATATGTATTACATATTCTAGAAAGTATATATATATATGTATATATATATACACACACACACACACACACACACACACACACACACAAGATCTGAAATTTTAAATACTAAACTGCTCCTGGTGATCCTCCTCTAGGGCAAAGTGCAAATTGGGGATGGCAATTAAAGGGGATGCTAGCATTTTAATTTTTTTGTTGGTAACATTTTAAATTTTTTTAAAGGAGGATATATTAATGTATTACTTGTGAAATTTAAATTTAATAATACAATGTACTACCACAAATGTATCAGATTATACTCTATGAAAAATGAATATCTATTTCTTTTCTTTTAGAAATGGTTCAAAAATCTCTTAATTTTGCATACATATGTTCAAGTTACTAGAAAGCCATTTGCATCTGTCTCATATTTAATCCTTACTACATTAGTTTTAGTGTGTTAACATTGCCATTAGTAATAAAGAAAAAACAAACAAACAAAAAAAAACACAAAAAAACCACTGTGGGATAATTGCCACCTTCTTGTGAAGTTAATCATCACACAATTTAGTAGGGTTTCCATGGGACTGTAGGAAGTCCAGCAGTGCAAATGGAATTCACATCTAAGAATGAGAACCTTCTATGTGAGACCATCAGTGTTTGTTGGCTGGGTTAACCTCTCTCTGTGTCTGACATTAATGTCCTTGCTCTTTTAGTTGACTGATAAGGTCAAAGAGAGTAGAAAATGAGGCTGTGAATGCTCATTAGATGATCTCATCTGTTACCTGACTGAAAGATTGGGACCCCATTCTGGTTGGGCTATAAGGATAATCTGATCAGAACCAGGAAAAGCCAAATAGCCACAGCTCAGAGAGAGCAGGAACTAGTGCAGAGCCAGGCCACACAGGCACAGGGGCTGGAGATGTTAGAATAACTTAAAAGCCTTGGTCACCTGCATTTGTAGATCTCTGTTTTAAGGCTACACCACAAACCTGTCTCAGTCCCTTTCTGTTCAATCTACAGCTTTCAATGTTCTTTTAGTTTTAATTCCTGCTGTATATTTCCTCATTCTCTATATATTTCTCTGTTTTCTATTTCTCAGTCCTAAGAGGGGCAATCTGATTAGCCTAACCCCTTAGTTTGCACCCAGCCATGAGATAAATCCCTACCGAGCCTGTTGATTCGCTATTCTGGATCAAATACTCTGTCATTAAGTAACAGAAAATCTAGCAAAAAAATGGTTCACAAGGACATGTGGTGTCACAGAACAAAAACTCCTGAGGTTGGGCCATTCTAAGACTAGTATTTTCTTTCTTTTTTTTTTCTTTCCTTTTTTTTTTTTTTTTTTTTTTTTTTTCCTTTTTTTTTTTTTTTTTTGTCTTTTTTCCTGACCGGTAATGGGATCGCAACCCTCGGTGTCGCACCCGTACCGCGACCGGCAACGGGATCGCAACCCTTAGCGTTGCACCCGCACGGCGCTCAGCCAGTGAGCGGGGACCAGTCTCCACATGGGATCCGAACCCTCGGCAGGAGCGCCCCCGCGCTCCCAAGCAGCACACTCTCTAGTGTGCCACCGGGCCAGCCCTAAGACTAGTATTTTCAGCAGCACAATTATGTCAGAACTCTAGATCTCTGTGGTTCTTTTGGCTTTCCTCGCATGGAAAAAAAGATGTTGGCAGCAAGGAAAATCTTTCACAGAAGACTCCCATACCCAGCAGACTTCCTAGCATGTCTCATTGGATTGAATGTCATTGCACACCCATGCCGAAACTAATCACTGGTGAAGGAAATAAAATAACTATGCTTGCCTTTGAAGCTTAGATCAATCAAGCTTCCTGGTCAGCTTCCCTGAAGCATATGGTCACCTTATATCTGAGTAATAGCAGAATTCCATTAGCCAGGAAGAAAGATGCTGGGTCACATGTAAGTTACACTGTCCTGGGACTGTCATTTCAAGTAGGGGGTCATGAGAACAGCTTCCCTTAGAAAGAGCAGTGTGGGCGACAATAATCAACATACCTAATGCAGGTCAGCTTCCTTACCTGTTCTCAAACAAAATGCCAGTTGCACATAGTGGCTACTTCGAGACAGTGAGGTAATCGTTGATATTTATTTCATTCTTTATACATCTTTGTATATTATTTCTATAGTATACTATTTTCTATAGTATTAATTTCTTACTATTAAAAAATCAATACCCTTTGTGCAGCAGTCTCTGTGCTTTAAAATACAAATGTGGTTTCTCAGAGAAAAACATTTTGTCTCTGCCATGTTTGTTAGGAAAACACTTGAAATTTAGACTAAGCTTAATGACTCTGCCTTTCACCGTTGCTATTTAATTCAGCCTGCTTCTTGGACTCCATGGCAACCCTGGGACTTGCAGCCTATGGATATGGCATCCGATACGAATATGGGATCTTTAATCAGAAGATCCGAGATGGATGGCAGGTATGTGAGCCATCTTTCAGTGGATACTGTCAGTCTTCCCCCTATGGAATGTGAGTTCCCTAAGAGCAGAAAGCCTGCCAGTATCACTCACCACTCGATCTGTAAAACCTAGCACAGTGCCTGACTCACAAGGGTGCTTGGGAAATATCCACCACTGACTGCCTGAATGTGAATTACCTACAGTGTGTGATGTTCACTGTCTGCAGCATGCTAAATGGAGGAGCTCATCTTCTGACTCATGATCTCCCCCAGTACCTTTGATGGTAGGAAGCGTGTTACCATTTTGTAGGTGAGAGAACTGAGTCTCTTAAGAAGTGAAGTTACCTCAGATTACACTGCTGGGAAATATGTGTCTATATCCCCAGATTTCTAGGTCCATCCTCAGTATTCTCTTCTACACTCAGTCTTGCCTCCTTAACATGCCTATCTTACAAGATACATCAGCTAAGTGTCCTAATTTTTTATAAGATAAAATCAAGCAATCTTGTTAACTGGCATGACAAACAAATCTGGCTCATATTTAATATTACAAGTATAATTATGTTGCTCCATTCAAATTTGCACAAAATCCATCCAAATGACTCTAGTTTTACTTGTATATAAGCAAACCAAATTCTAAGGCATTTGTTTCTTCTACCCCTGGTAATTCTTTGAGTCTACAACCAGCCTAGTGTGGATAGTTTCCCCTGACACTATCTTTGTCACACACACACACTCACAACATTGACAAAAAGACACGTCTTAGATTTCCAAGAAGCCTGAGCTCTCTGAGCCCCTCCCACACTTCCGAGACTGAGTCTAGTAGAAGAATGCTCAGGTGGGGGGACCTGGTCTGGAGCTGATGCCAGGGGAAAGGAAGGATTTTCCTATGAGAATAAGTTTAGTGTCATTGCTGTGCTCTTTCCCTCCCCCAGGTATTTGGACACTGTTTAGGCCAAGGAAAAAAGGAACTAAAAGATTTGGTATGATGAGAAAATGTGCCAAAGAAAAAGGCTCAGAAGGAGAATATTGGAAACATATTAAAAGACAAACTTCTAAATTTTGCTAAGGACCAGTGCTGTGTGTCTTCAGCCACCCTAAATGAATAAAAACTAGGACGCAGCATGGTGTATAAGAAAAGCCTGGGCCCTAATATCTAATTTGAGAACTAATTTTAACCCACTAGTCTTATAAGGTATATCATCTCAATTAGGTTACCTAACTCCTCTGAGCCTCAGTTTTCTCATCTGCAAAATGGAGATACCAACTTCACAAATTTTTTTATGAAAATATGCAAATAAGTGGCATACGAATAGGCACTCAATAAAAATTTAGTTTTGCCTAAGAAAAGGAGGATAATTTAATAAATTATGGTATTCTGTAATAAAATATTAACATAGCTGTTAATATTATATTTTTGATTAATTTTAATAAGATAGGAAATCATACATGTTAGCTGAAAAAAAAAAAGACACAGAATTATATGGATGGTATGACCTCAACTATCCCTCCCTAGCAGGCTGGAAAGAAAAAGGAAAAGTGCTAGAAAAAAATACATGAAGAAATTATCTGTTGGGAGATGGAATTATAGGTGACCTTACAATCTCCTATTTATTCTTCTACATGTCTCATATGTCATAAGAATTGTATATTTTATAATCATAAAAAGTTATAAAAATGAAAGAATTGGTTCCCTTCCCCAATGAAGTAATCTAGAGTTCCATGATAAGAGCATAGCTTAAGCAGCATTTCCAATACAACCAACATTTTGATACTACCTGACCAAGAAAGTGTACTGTGTGGTACTCCCTATATCCCAGAATGCTAAAGAATTTCGTTTCTTATCTTTTATCTACTATTGTGTGAAAGATTTCAAAGAAACTCAGCAAATCCATCTCAAAAAAATTTTTTTCTCAAGTGCATTTTTTCCCAAAATTTAATGAAAGGTTACTCTCAATCGCAACTATCTTTGCTCCTTTTAAATGGCCTTTATTCCAGCAAACTACGCCTTTCTCTCCTATCAAACCAAGGAAATATAATGGCTTTTGCTAATTCAAAATATTCCAAAGCTAGCTTCATTAACCATCATCACTTCTTTAATTATATTATGACTCAAAATTGAATCAGAAGGACATATAATTTTACTTGTCACCTCCATTATTTACTGGAATAGGATTTTAAAAGGCAAACATAACATATATCATACCATGAAAAGAAACTATTCCCATAAAATACAGAAAGCCTCTGCCAGGGAAGCAGCAGTGCTCTTTAGAGTCTGGGCATGCCCCCTACTCACAGACATAATGCTCTTAGATGGCAGAGATGCACAGGCTAGGAAAACTTCCCAGCTGGGGAGATTCTTAAAGGCTGGTGCACTTTTAATTTTGAGTCTCTTCAAGGAAGATTTGTAGTAATAGAGTGTTCATCGTGAACCCCCCTGAGGAAAATGATCATATTTTTAAAATTCTAGACTTACCATGAACTCTAATGGGGATGGTTGAAACCTTATTGGTAAAGGTCCTCTATGAAAATAACAGCCCTGGGGGGAAGTGGGGAAAGGCGATTTCAAGAACCTCACGTAAAAGTTTAACAATCACACCAAAGTCCTGGGCAGAAGGGCACTCACTCTATGTATCTCAGAGTTGAATCAAGCAGTGTCTGCTGGAGCTCTTTTCTCTCTTCTTAGAACCTGTGCCAAGCCTTGGGGATGCACATTCACATCCCCAAGCAAGCTTCTAGTTATCATTGCTGAATCCTCGGTATTCCCCAGAAACATTTTTCAATTATTTGTATCATCAGAAAGCAAGGTTTGTTGACTCTGCTGATGTTTGTTCACTGGCTCTTCTTGTACTCTATTCCACCATTGAGGGGAAAAGCATTTCTTAGAATTCAGTCACTGGCAGAGCCCCCTGAGCTGGCCTCTACTTCACTGCTGGCTCACAGTGAGTAATTCCTCCAGGGAGAGGCCAGGTCCTGCAGCCACCCCCAACCCAGTTGGCTCTTTCACTCCACAGAGCCACACTGGCTTTGTGTCAGCCCCGTGTAGCCTGCGGTCACCCCACAGCTAGATGTGTGAAACACATCTGAGAGCCCACCTGGATGTAAATGAAAACTCTTCTTCCATCCTGCCCCCACCCCAGCCCCAGTTCATACAGTGCAGCATGTTAGTGCATTCAGGGGTCACTGGCTACACGGATCTCTAAATTTACGGACGAATTTGTTAATTCATTGGAAGAAAGCAAGGTAGACACCCTGCAGCTTTTGTGGATTTGGTGCAGGCAGCAAGGGGCAATTCCCTTTCCCCTCAGATCTGCTCAGACTAGCTTGTGGTTATGAAATACTTACTTTCAATTTGCCTTAAAAACAAGCCTTGTAAAATTGAGGGAATGATTAACTGATCCTCTGCCGAATCAGTGAGAGACTCAAAATAAAGAAGAGCAAGCAAACGTGATCTCCTACAGAACTTGTTAACCCCACGAATTTAAAACCAGCCATTATTTGGCAGGGAAAAATTAAGCCAACATGTGATGGCATTAAGACTAATCAACTGACAAGTCCCTTGTCACTTAAGACTTTGCACCCTCAAAAGAGCAAATGCACCCCCTGACTTCCATAGGAGTCAGGGAGTGGACCTATGGTGGGAAGTCAAGAGTCCACCCTCTCCTATATGAGCATTTCAAGCTTCCTGAGGGCAGAACAGCATATGATCCTGCTGCATTTCTCAGCAGAAAATGTGTCATTGGTTCTCCCATACACATGATTTTCAAGAGGAAAACTGTTTCTGTCTTATTATCTTCCTGTTTCATGCAATACCTTCAGATGTGTTTTACAACATCCCTGAGTGCTGAAATGAGGCAAACAGGCCTGGTTCTTTCCTGCTACAGGAAGCAGTGTTCACATTGATTTTAAAACCCAAAACCTGCCCTTGCCTTAGTGCAGCATAAAGTATTTTGTAAGTCAAGATGTTTTGCTCCTTTGTTGATATCATTTATTTGTTGCAGTTTCTAGTTATTAACACAAGTTCATGAACTCAAGCTTCTCATCAACTGGTAAACATTAAACGTTTTCTTGTTAAATTTTTTTTTCTCTTTATGACTGGGATATGAGAAGTTAAGTTTTAAATTCTGAATTACATAATTACAATTATTGACTTCATATTACCTTGTAGCTCCTGCCTGCTCTTTGTGTGGTCTGGGGACCAGCAGCACTAGGAGCCTCTGGGAACTTGTTAGAAATGCAGAATTTCAGACTCCTCCCCAGACCTACTGAGAATCTGCATTTTAACAAGATGCAATTTCATCAAGTCTATCTCCAGCCTTCCCTAGGCTTCATCCAGCATCTGACACCTCCTCCTGCTTCCAGATGCTCTCTAACTCCCAGCTCTTCTACTTAAAAATGTTGTTTCTATGAATCCCCTCTTCATTCATCATTATGCGCAACATACTGGCTTTCTTGATATAAAGCCATGATCGATGTTTGAATAAATGAATGTGTATTTGCTTGTCTGGCCATTGACATTAATGTTTTGTCTAATGTCTCAAAAGATAGTAACTTTGTTTATTTGTATCTCTTCACAGTCTGCCTGGGGAAGGCACTGAACTCATTTTTAGGTGATCATGAAATGTCCTGCATTGTGTCATAATTCTTAAGCACTATGTTCTAAGACTAAAAGCTGAGTTTTCTAAGAGTTGAGGATGAGGAATCAAATAAGTAAATAACTGTATCTGGGATAATCTTATTGAAAAGGATACTGTATCCCCTTCTCTTTCTTGCCAGAACACAATTCCATTTTTTAATATATATTTTAAAGGCTTCACTAATAATATATTTACTTTAAGATTAGATCTCCCTAAAACGTGTTTTGTTGTTCTAATTTTGGTGTTTTTTGTTTGTTTGTTGCAAATCAAAATTCGTTTGATGTCCACAATACCCTAAATAAAAACTATGGTTTTAAAATGTTTTGTAAGGAATATTTTGTTATAAATTAACATAAATACATGGGAAAATGTTGAAATCATCATAAATTCCTTACCTCTTAGTATATATTATTTTCAAAATAAACCATAATTTATAGTTCATTATCAAATCAAAATTACATAAGGATTAAGTTAAATAAAGAGTACAAAATGTAGTAGGTTTCTGTACCTATACTGAAATAAGCTTTAAGGGAGCATTCTATTAGTTACATGTCCTAACCAATTCTATATGTTCTAGGCACAAGAATCTTAACTAAAACCATCATGTAGGTATTCAACAATAAACATGCCTGGAGGGCCTCTCTTTTTAACTCAGGCTGGACAATTGATTCACAGGCTCTGGAACACACAGACCTAAGGTCAAATCTTAACTCTACCATTTATTGTCTGTGTGATCTTAAGCAGTTACTATTTCCTTATCTTTAAAAAAGAGGAAATCATAGTTACCTCCTATACGGTTGCTGTGAAGATTAAATACAACAATACATATAACATTTAGAGCACTGTTAGCAAGTATTGTTGATTTAGGCTGGAAGACTATATAACAAAAATGAATCAAGATTTCTGGAACCAACACTCTTTCTTGCCGAAACAGTATTCCTGAGTTGTTTCAGTTAAAGATACTTTTTTGTGATATAATTGAAGGGCTAGGTCCACTTCTCCTGAAAAATAAACTCTAAGGCATATCCTTTTTGCAGATAGAGGAGGCAGACGATTGGCTCAGGCATGGAAACCCCTGGGAGAAGTCCCGCCCTGAGTTCATGCTGCCTGTGCACTTCTACGGGAAGGTAGAGCACACCGAGACGGGGACCAAGTGGATCGACACCCAGGTATCCAGAGTGTGCTCATGACAAGCATTCTGTACAGGCTAGTACAAAGGATAGTACATAGAGTACGTAACACACAGTATCATGTGTACATGGTATCGAGTAGAGCATGTTGTGTATTGAATAATAGAGTATATTTGTATAAATGAATCTGTTACTCCTCTTAGTACAATACACTTGTTTTGGAGACAAGGGATCTGAGACCAAGAGAGAAGTGACTTCTCCAAGGTCAAGTGACTTGCCAGGGTCATTTTGCAATCAGCTTTATCAGAGATAATCAGTTCTATAATACCCAGCATGCTTAGCTCTCCAGTTTATTTATATAAAGTTGTGGATAGCAAAACTGGGTATATTTAAATGTCATTCCTCACCCCACCACCATATACATTTACTTACAGCTTCTCAGAGATAAATATTTTAATACAGAAGTATTTATTCAAAGGATTACCCAAAGTCTTATTCATTGTAAAGTCAGAAAAATAATGCAAAAATTCCAACTGTACTCTGTTATTTTGTGCCAAATCACTTTATAGGAATAATGCTGGTGCCAACGTAAGTGTACGTACTTCCTGGGCGTGTACTTATCCTGCCACTAGATTTGACTATTACCCTGTCACTGGACACTGGCACTCCCAGTGGTGGTTTGTGCTTTGCTGTCTTCATACGTCCTAACAAATAACCCCAGTTAAGTACTGGACCGCACTGCCCAGTCTTTGGAGGCTTCACTTGAGTTATTTGCTTAATAAATATGGTCTCAGGGCTAGAAATGATTTATCACTGGCCATTCTTTAAAAACTTAAAGTGGTAAAGACTGAGTAAATGATGTTCTTATATTTGAATATCGGCAGTAAAATTCAGTATTGTAATGCAAAATGTGATTGGTTTGTGGATTATTCTCTGTGAATAAATGCTTCATTTTACCTTAAAAGAGCCAAGACCCATTTTACAGCTGATTTTTTTTTTTTTTTTTGAACTGCTGGTTTATTATGTAGAGCTATTCACAGTTCAGAAAAGTAAGATATTTTAAAAACTATTTTCGATCCGAACTTAAATTTATTTAGTATATGGAATAATGGATTAGAAGTTGAAATAGGTAACTAAGTATAATGGTATAAGGATGTAACTCATACTGTGATAAGTTCTTGTTTTGGATTTTCTTGGTTTTGTTTTTCATTTTGGTTCAACAGTAAACCACAGTCTAAGTTGCACTCGGTTACAGTAAGTATAATCAGGAGAAATGCAAACAAATCAGTCGTTAATACACCCAAAGAATTCACACATGTATTTGGTATTAAACTAGCAAGTATTTGGTATAGATTTTGGTGCCTAAAACTTCATCAGTGGCTTCCGATCTGTCTAAAAGTATGCAGTTTACACAATCAATCCTGGGAGCATTCTGTTTACACTGTGGATCCCACTACTGAGCTAACGTGTATTTAAAAAGCACCTCTAGGGCCGGCCCGGTGGCGCACTGCTACAGTGCGCTGCTTGGGAGTGCGGTGGCGCTCCCGCCGAGGGTTCGGATCCCACATACAGACCGGTTCCCGCTCACTGGCTGAGCGAGGTGTGGGAGCAACACCGAGGGTTGCGATCCCGTTGCCGGTCCCGGTCCAGTACGGGCGCGACACTGAGGGTTGCGATCCATTGCCGGACACGAAAAAAGACAAAAAGGAAAAAAAAAAATAAAAAGCACCTCTAGATATTTTCATCATATATCCAGAAATTCAGTTAGAGAGAGTATGTGTTTCTGTGCCCACAGAAACAAGGTTATTGGGCAGAGGTAATATCAGTGAAGTGACCCAAGCTATGCAGGACTTCATGGATTAAAGCCATCCCCTGAATCCGGCCCAGATTTGTATCTAGTGAGGTCAGAGAGCATGAGGCCAGACATGCTCTGTGCATGCATGGTATGGCTTCCAGTAAACTGAAATGACCCGTTGTTGTCCTCCAAGACACAGACACCAGAAAGAGTATGAAAGGTAAAGGGGAAAGGGAGCAAGAGGAGGGGAGGGGTCTTCCGACTATGACGCAGGTGTGCTACCTGTGAAAGAAGGGAGGGAAGGAGGATTCTCAGGGAGAGCCTCACACTGCAGCACAGGCCTGAGCAAGTGGCCAGGCATATGCTTTAGCACTCCAGCCACCTGGAGCATCCTGGAGAGAGCTCTGAGGGGACATATTCTCTCTGAAGTTCTCTGAAAGGAGATCTGAGCTGCACACTTCCTGGGCTGCCTCAATTATGCTTTAGGGGTCAGAAAGATTAATCTTGTTTGAATCCAGACACAGTCCCACTCTGTAAATGACTTTTCCTGATTGATCACAATTTGCTTTGAAAATCTCCAGAGACCTTTATTTCTGAGTGAAAGATATTCAAGTAAGGGTGATTTATTACTTCGAGGTCATGATGATCATGAAAGCATGCCTGAATATATGTGATTGATGTGGACTATAATGCTTCATTTATTCATAATTCAGCAGACCAAATTAAAGAGAGGTGTGTTTAGGTTTCAAACCTGCCATGACTGTGACCTTGGTCAAGTCACTTCTGTCTCAGCTTCAGCCCCTCGTGTCCAAAATGAGTGGGTTACATAAATATCTGGCATCCTCCAATTCAATTATTCTGTCATTCTCCTTCACTAGAACTTGACTCTGATGAGGCAGAGAATAAAAATGAGTCATTTCTCACATAAATTTTAAATGCACTGTGAAACATAGTTCACTTTCCTGTTCTTCTCTATTTCAATGACTGTCACAAATATTGAGCTAGATTTTCCAAAGTTCATCTCTTAGACCCAATTCAGCTAATTATCAGATGATTTGGCAGATCACTATAGGAATCACTAAAATAACTCTTTATGCAACTTCAAAAAATCTAGCTTAGCATTTTAAATGTCTCATGTGATGTTCTATCTCCATAAATTTCCTGTTCCATTGATTTTCACCATATTAGAAATCAGATCACCCTACACAAAACGTATCCTAATTGCTATTTTTGGGTGGGTATAGATTCACATTTGTCACTTTGCTTGCATATCATATTTTACTATTAGAGCAATGGCTTGATCTAAAACACAAATGATAAACTTTTTCTAATACTATGGCATTCCATTCCATTGCATCTGTATCAGGGCAAAGGGTACATGGGAGGTCAACATGGAAATGCTATAAAAGACCATCAGTCTAGATGGCTCCAGCCATCCAGATTGTTCCAGTTGGTAGAGAAACCACATGGCCTGTAAAACCACCTCCAGCCCTGGTGTTACCGGGCAGCGGTTCCAGGTTCTTGGTCTATTTGTGAAAGGAAAATCTGTCACGGATCGGTAAAAGGAACAGAAGAGAGTGACAGAGAAATGGATCATAATGAGGCTTTATTACCAAGCAAAGGTACACACCAAAGAAGTGTGCAGGCATGTCCCCCAGATTCTTAGGGGGAGGGTTTATATGCTGTTCTGGGATGAGATGTTTCTCTGTCTTAACTAAGAGGAGGAATATTCGGCTGTGGGGGAAGATCTAGAGTAATTAAGGCCTCACAGGCCGAGGCGAGGTTGCATCAGCTTCCTGTCAAGCATCCCTGAGTTTCTGAAGTTTCTGGTCATTCTCTTAACTTTGGCTGATCCAGTCTGAATATTTATGAGCAGCCTCTCTGGGACACGTCCCTATTCTGTCCTGCTTCACCGGGACCCTCTTCTTGGCTTGCATCCTTACACCAGGATAGATCCCATTGCAGTCTCTGAGCCCGTTGTCCAACCTACATCATCACACTTGGGAAACAGTGAGCAGATGCTTCTGTTTCATCCCACAGGTGGTCCTGGCTCTGCCATATGACACCCCAGTGCCTGGGTATATGAATAACACCGTCAACACCATGCGCCTCTGGTCTGCTCGGGCACCAAATGACTTTAACCTCAGAGACTGTGAGTACAGCACTTTTTGATCACAAGTTAGGACCAAATTGGACTTGCGAAAATAGCCTTTAGTTTCTGATCTGAGCTCTTCAGTGACTAAGCAGGCATCATGTGCAGCAAATAGGGAGGACATTTTTAAAGCAGTCCTTTAGTATGGCCTTCTCAGACTCTCATGTGAAGCCCAGCATGAAGGTTTGTTGAAATCTTTTTGGATTTTTAGGAATTTTAGGAATCCCACATGGCATGCAGCAAGCATCAGGTGAGATCGAGGGGCTTCCAACAACAATGGCTGGCTTGTCTATTTATTGTTTTTCTAACGTTCCCCTCAGTTAATGTTGGTGACTACATTCAGGCTGTGCTGGACCGGAACCTGGCCGAGAACATCTCCCGGGTCCTCTATCCCAATGATAACGTGAGTAACCAAGCTTGCTTTCTCAGTGGCGACAGAACCAAGTCCTTTTACAAAAGCCTATTCAGTAACCCTATAAAACACAATGTTCATTTTTTTTTTCATGTGCAGAATAAGCTCCATATCTCTTCCTGAATTACAACCAAGTGAGGAAAACAAATTTTCAGAATTCGTGAAATCAGAATTGGTGTTTTGGCCTTGATTAGTGACCCCATCATTAATTGGGAAGGCTCTGCATTTGTACTTGTATTTGCATTTGTATTTGTTGTAGTTGTATTTCAAAACCTGAATATAAAACATGAGCTGGATCATGGGTACAGCACTAGCTCCTTTCCAGACAGAAATTTCATGTGCAACGTCAGAAGTCCCTGTGATTTCCTGCCTGGCTCTTCCCTCACTCACTGGGCTCTTCCTGGCCCTCTGCCCCCAGGCTGGTTGGGGTGATGGACCTCGGAGCAGGCCTATAAACAAACACCTGTCTCTTCTGCCACTTACTTGTATCTTTAAACTTTTTCTTACAAATGATTATCCTAATTTTATTCTAAAAATAGCTCAGTTTTTAAAAACTTGGAACTGGATCTCAGATGACTGCTATGGATTCTTGGTTGGTTTGAATATAAGCGACTCTAATTTCTCCAATGGGTAAAATCATACTCTTGATGCAGTAATGATTTTTTCTAAAGTTAACCTCAGAAGCAATCAAACTAGTATTCTGCTTTACAAAGATGGCAGAAAACAAGGATCTTGGGGACTAGGACATAAATAGTCCCTAGGACCAGATATCCACTTGGTGTTAAGCCACAGCCTCTAAGAGGGGAGTAGGATTATGTGGATTTTCAGGAACCTGATGGTACATGTTATTTGGGGAAAATATTGTGACTTCAGTACATTTCAGAGAAATCAATAACCCCATAGCAAAATGTTATTCTGTTTCATGGTCAACATAAGAATTTTCCAAGTTTGGGACTACACTGCCTGGCCAAACCCAGGCCTTCAGGATTGTATAACTGGAAGGTGCTTGAAATCCATCTTCCTATCTTCAGTAAGGACCAAACCTAACTCTACTTGGAAATAAGCATCTGCAGTAATTGACAACATATTCTAAGTAAGCATGGGGTAAAAAGTTGACCAGATTTGTTGGGTAAAAGGTAGCTCTCTGGATTATGTTTTTTTAAGAATGAGTTGATAAATCATTTTCATTCTGCAGTTACAAAAACAAATTCATTCTCTCTCCTCAACCTGGCCATAGCCCTAACCCAGGCATTAGTCTCCCTTCCAAGGATCTTGCACCTGCCCTCACCCTGCAACTAGTGAGAAACTTTGTTTTTCCTGGAGTTCGGCCTTCTTCTCTCAACCAAATTCAGAACACAAGCAGATAATATTAATTCTACCAGAGTTAATTATTAATATTAATTAATCTGATCAGAACTACACTATACTTTTCACCAACACTGAAAACTAGAAGACAAAAAAAAAAAAATCTGAGGGTTCCATATCCAGGCAAATAATCACTATGAGGGCAGAATAAAGATGTTTTCTGATGTGTAAGGTGGCTAAAAAATTGACCGTGCACACACTTTTTCCCAGGAGACCCTGGAAGTGTGTGTACTCCCAATGAAGGGGAGTAAACCAAGAAAGAGAAAGACATGGGATCCAGAAAACAAGTGACCCCAGACTGTAGATGAGCACAGGGGTCCTCAGAATAACAGGGAAAGAAGATTCTAAGATGACAGTGGAGCAGCAGTCCCAAGGAGCAGCCAACTCAGGAGCGATCCAGAAGAGACTGTTCAAAAAGACTGAGTTAATGGAACACCTAATGTGTTTGAATATAGTGAGAGGAAATTTACACAACTGGGCTAGAATGCAGGATAATTAGGGGAAAGTACTCAGAAAACCAAGTAGGCAAACAAACGAAACAATTATGAACTCCAGGAAAAAAACTTTTTAAGAAAATGAAAAGTAATCATTATAGGAGGACACATGTACACACAAATCAGCTGTCTGTAGCATTTACGTAGTCATAATAATGTAAACACTGATTAAGGAGCCAGTGAAAATTACAGCGTAATTATGTTGAGAGGATTGGGGATGAGAATATGTGTTTGATGGCTCTGATGTATAAACTGAGTTGCTTTTTGGCTCTTCTCCACTACCAGGTCAGGATTTGGCTTTCTTGGGTCTTCTGGCTCAGTTACCACTCATACATCTGTTTTTAAGCTTCTAAAAAGTTGTTGTTTTCTCTCTCCCAGTCTCTTTATCCTTTATCTGTATGCCTTTTTAAAACCCTTTTGCTGTCATTTTGGTGGGGTTCCAGGAAAGAGCAAAGGCTCATGCTTTGGCGTTCCACCTGCCATCTTTCATAAGAAAAATGGGCTTTATCCTCAAAGCTTCCCGGGCAAGAGACACCAGTCACGTTTTTGACCACACCTACAATGGGAACCACTTTCATTCAGTCTCTCTGGCTTGAAGTTTTTTGAAGGGAAGGAGCTAAGATTGAAGCAGGAGTACTTTGTGGTGGCTGCTACCTTGCAAGATATCATCCGACGTTTCAAAGCCTCCAAGTTTGGCTCCACCGAGAGTGCAGGAATTGCATTTGATGCCTTTCCGGATCAGGCAAGTAGTCAGTCTCTGCAGGTGGGGTCCATGGAGGGGCCAGGATTTCCTATCAGCTTTACTGCTCTCTCCCAGTGCTGAACAAGTCGAGTAGGAACAGTGTGCTTCAAGTGTTTCACAGAAGCTGGGCATTTAGCTTGGTGCTTTCCCCAGGCATGTGTGGGACAAGGAAGCCAGAGCCCGGGCCACCAGTCACCTTCACCTTGCTGTCTTTCCCCACTAGGTGGCCATCCAGCTGAATGACACCCACCCTGCACTTGCCATCCCTGAGCTGATGAGGATTTTCGTGGATATTGAAAAATTGCCCTGGTCTAAGGTCTGGACAGTCTGGCTTCTTTTTACTTTAATAAACCAGGATATCGGTAGTTGAAAGACTTTGCCAAAAAGCTTCTTTTTCAGTTTTTCAAAATAAGTTACTGTTGCTAACTTCCAATAGTTAAAGGTATGTTTTGCTCTGATGCTGACATTTCTCCATCCTCAGGGATGTGCTTTACAGGGAGTAAAACTAAAACAAAATAAATACATTCCTAATGTGATGTAGACCAATAGCTGTATTAAGGCTTATATTATGTTTACCGTTTTTGTGTCTAAAAGGATTCTAAATTAAATTCTGTAACCTCAGAAGACAGCTAATTGAAAGTATACCCATAGCTTTGGAATTCAGCATTTTAAACATACCTGCTGAGAGCATTAATTTTTTATTCTACAACCTTTGTGTATTTAATAAATAAAAGACATGTCACAATAGTAGAGATTTATTAGAATGCTGTCTTAAGTTTTATCACACAGTTTCACAAATATCTTCTGCACCTCCTACCCCCAACCCTCCCTCCTCCGCCCCTGAAAAGAAAAGTTCCCATTATCTGGACCACTCAGGAACCTGTTAGAATCAGTGTGTATACACTTAGAATTGTCCTGTTGCAGACAGGCCGAGTTGAGGAAGTGTTTGGCCTGTGTGGTGGGTGTGCACTGCAGGGGAAAGCAGCTGACCCCTCTCTCTGTCAGGCATGGGAGATCACCCAGAAGACCTTCGCATACACTAACCACACAGTGCTGCCAGAAGCCCTGGAGCGCTGGCCAGTGCAGCTGGTGGAGAAGTTGCTTCCTCGACATTTGCAAATCATTTATGAGATAAATCAGAAGCATTTAGATGTAAGTCATTTGAGACATTCTTCCCTTTATGAGAATGAGCTCTTAAGACATTCAGGGTGGCTGCAGTGTTCCCCCTTTCCAAGCATGAGGCCCAAACGTCTTTCAATCATTGATATGACAAGCATACTCAAGTCTGAACAGGGCTCATTAAAAGTGCTAAAATGGAAAGATGGCATCTCCCTAGGGCTAACTCTGCCCCTCTCTGTGAGAGTGAAGTTCTATATTCACTCCATCAAAGATTTTGCTTGGGAAGTGAATACCGTTATTGCTTTAAACCTGAGTGGCCAGCAAGGTCTTTCTCTCCCTTTGGCTAGAGAATTGCAGCTTTGTTTCCTAAAGATGTCGACCGTCTGAGAAGAATGTCTCTGATAGAAGAGGATGGAGGCAAAAGGATCAACATGGCCCATCTCTGCATTGTGGGCTCCCACACTGTGAATGGCGTGGCTAAAATCCACTCAGACATCGTGAAGAAGGAAGTGTGAGCCTCCATTACCGTGGTTGTGGGTCTAACGCTGATCTGTTAATGGAACAATGCTAACAAATGCAGGGTTGCATTTAGCAATGAGGAAAGGCCTGTTACAATGTTTAAAAGTATTTTCTTTTATACAAAGAATGCTTCTCTTTAAAAAGAAAGAAAGAAAAGAAAATATGCCATCCTCTCTAAGCCATTCTAATTCTAGACTTAGGAGCCAAAAAAAAAAAAAAATATTCTGCTGAAAGTCTGGTATATATGTCAGTGCCAGGAAGTCAGATGGAGGTGATTAGATTTGGAATTTTTCTTGTAATTATTTTGAATTGCAAATGAATTTCTATTTGGAAAGACAGTCATAGCTGCTGTCAGCCCTTCCCTCCACTTTTATTTAATCTTTGTAAGCCTGCACTTGGCTTCTTTAATGTAACTCCGAACTTTATCTAGCATGCAGGACCCTGGCATTTCAGCCAAATTCAGTGATGTGTTTCTTCCATCTCCAGATTCAAGGACTTCAGTGAGCTAGAACCAGACAAGTTTCAGAATAAAACCAATGGGATCACTCCACGGCGCTGGCTCTTACTCTGCAACCCGGGGCTTGCAGAGCTGATAGCAGAGGTAACTGGGGAGTGCCGAGAGGCATGTGAGTGCCCTTATCCTTAGCAAATCCCATCTGCAGCAGGGCTGGGGCTGGCTTCATCATCGTGTAGCTTGTGCAGTCACACAGAGCTCCATGCCGGGTTTAATTCTCTGCTGTAGCCATCTTAAAATTCTTAAATTTTGAACAAGGGGTGCTGCAAATTATGTAGCTGGTCGTGGCTAACAGTATTCATATGACACATGGGTAGAAGATGGTATACCTATTTAGTAAATGAGGATAACAAAACTCATAAATAACTAATAGAATAACAGGGTTCTTGGTCACCCTTTGGAGTAGATTTCCTGTGTTTAACACTTTAATACCACTAAAACTACACTTAAGATTCTAGCAGCAGTGTTCCTCTCACAGAGAATTATTTCTAGGCTCTTCTGTGAGTGACACCGTTGTGTGTACCATGTATAACTATGCTGTTGTAACTGGGTGAGAGCCACTCACCCCGTCCTCACAGAAACTGCTCATTTGGGCTTGATTTCCACCCCTGAATTAAAGCCACCCCTTCTTTAAATTGAAAGAAAATCGGGGAAGACTACGTGAAAGACTTGAGCCAGCTGACGAAGCTCCACGGCTTCCTGGGTGACGATGTCTTCCTCCGGGAAATAGCCAACGTGAAGCAGGTGAGGCGTGGGGGGCCCTCCCGGCACGCGCTCGGGGGGCTCATACTCCACTCTGTAAAACCTGAGTCAGAAGGGCTGTGCACCGTGCCCTGTCTCAACAGGAGAATAAGCTGAAGTTCTCTCGGTTCCTGGAGAAGGAGTACAAAGTGAAGATTAACCCCTCGTCCATGTTCGACGTCCACGTGAAGAGGATCCACGAGTACAAGCGGCAGCTCCTGAACTGCCTGCACGTGGTCACCATGTACAACCGTGAGCTGGCCCTGCAGCCACCCACAGGCCCCACGGAGGTGGACAGTCTCGCCACCCTGGCCGTCAACTGACTTCTGTCCCATCCACTTCTTTTTCAGGCATTAAGAAAGACCCTAAGAAGTTATTCGTGCCAAGGACAGTTATCATCGGTGGCAAAGTAAGTTGACCCTACTCAGTGGGGACTTGAGGGCTCTAATCTCTTGCCATTTCTCCACTGGGTCACGGCCGCCTTCTGTCACTGTGTTTAACGTTCTTCCCCAAGGCTGCCCCGGGATATCACATGGCCAAAATGATCATAAAGTTGATCACCTCAGTGGCAGATGTGGTGAACAATGACCCCATGGTTGGAAACAAGTTGAAAGTCATCTTCTTGGAGAACTACAGGGTGTCTCTTGCTGAAAAAGGTATACTGTCGTCATTACAAAATGTGTGGGAGCCAGAGCAAATTATAGGGATTACTCAGTAAGGAAAACAGTGTGGCTAACCTCAGGGCACTAGATACTTAAGATAAAAGGTGCCGCTCTTGGGCAGAATGAGGGCCTGAGGCAAGAGCTTTTAAGGTGACCCATCTGACAATGACATTGATGTCCCCACAGTCAGTACCACAGAAGCACATTTCCAAGTGCATTTTCTTCCCAACCAGTGAGAGCTGGGTGCTGGAGGAGGTAGCCTGAGGTTTTGGCATGATGCAAACCTGCTCTACAAAAGAGAGGACAGGTCTTCAGTTCCTAGCCCCACTTCTGCAAGAGAACACAAACTCACCAGTCCCCAGATGTTCCTCTGGTCCCTGCAGGGAAGAAAGGGCTGTCATTTGTTCATGGAGCAATAGGAAATGAGGGCAGATGTCAGGCTGCCAAAGCACAAGTCCTAGATGTGCCTTGTATGGGCACTGGGGCATCTGGCATGGAGTTCCCAAGGGGGACAGCAAGGATGGCAAGAATGTCCCTTTCAATGTCCCTTTCTCTGCCACTGAGACCTTTGTCCATTTGCATCACATGCTTACAAAGCACCATCCACATGCAAATGCCAAATGTATGTTCACCCACTTCCCAAATTGGAAAGATAGAAGGAAGCTTTCTCTTTTCTGTGGTATTTTTGGGTCCCCTAGTGGTACTGTTTAAGAAATGTCTGCATAAAGAGAAAAGAGCTAAGTCCTTAGATCTAATCCATGAATAAGCTCTCCTAGTAAAGCAGAGAAGTGGCCCTGACCTTTGTGGTGACAAGAAGGGCTTCAGGCAGCTCTATCTGTGTGTAAATCAGCCTGAAAGGTTAAAGGCTTGATGTCCAGCCCCTGGCACACTTCAATTGCACATGGCTTAATTTCCTGCAGTGAGTGGAAGGAGGGAGGTGAGAAGAGGAAGGAATGCAGAAAATCCACTCCCCTCGTGTTGCAAAAGAGCAGAAAGGAGAGATGCTCTGAATTTTATGGATCTAGAAAGAGAAGTTTCAAAATATTTTATAAAGCAGAAGAAATAAAAATAAAGCCAAAACAAAAATTGGAAAGGAGAAAGGGACAACAGAAAAGTAGTATCAATGTTTATAGCACAAAGCCAGTAGATACTCCTTAAAGTTTACAGACCAAGAAAGAGTAGTATACGCATAAAGTTATGTAGCACATCAACAGTGCACCACAGTGGTTGGCCGAGTCAAGGGGAAAGAGTAAGATCTGCCTTCTATACCACTTAACGTTTGTCTTGATGTGCATGTATTACTTGCGTGATCAGAACAGGCCAGCTAGACAAACGCTCACATATAAGAAGATTTAGAGAGACAGTCACTCATTTTAACTTGGCTTTCTTGCAGTCATTCCAGCCACAGATCTGTCAGAGCAGATCTCCACTGCAGGCACTGAAGCCTCAGGGACAGGCAACATGAAGTTCATGCTGAATGGGGCCCTGACCATCGGGACCATGGATGGGGCCAATGTGGAAATGGCAGAGGAAGCTGGGGAAGAGAACCTGTTCATCTTTGGCATGAGGGTCGATGATGTGGCTGCTTTGGACAAGAAAGGGTGAGAGAGCAGCTCTTTATTGGTCGGGTCATCCCCAGGAGGGTCCATGATCTCAGAGGGCATCCTGCCCACACAGGTACCCATGGAGGCTGGGTCACATGAGATGTGGCAGCATAGCATCTGCCATGAGGAGTCAGGGCAGCCTCCTGGCCACAGATCAAGTCTTACTAAACCCAGCAAGTAAAAATAAAGGGAGCTCAGACACAGGTACATGGAGTAGTTGCTCTTTGTTATCAGCCATTGCAGAGCTGGCCTCAGTGAGCTACTCAGTTCTCTGCATCTGTGATTTTTACTTTGATCAAAAGATGAACCAGTTTCTAGTTGGAAGTTTTTGCCTATAATTTAAACCATTTTCTAGTGCTCCTCTAAGATCTCAAAGAGATGGACTAAAATTGGAAAAGAATAGCCATGGATGTACAGAAGCACTCGGGAACACTTGTTTTCACTTAATATCTAGATAGATTTGTTTGCCTGAGTTCAGGAATGAAAGAAAAAAAAAGTACTGTCCAAAGGACCTATGGGAATCACAAAATTTAGAGAGTGCTAAATATACTTCCTAACCCTGGGAAGTAATTTTCACTCAGTAGCAACAAATTTTGAGAACCTGTGGATCTCAAAAAGCAACTGGTCCACTTAATACAAAGCTTGTTTAGAGCCATAAAGTCTGCACTGAAACAGAGCTTCTGTGTTTCTACCAGATTAGACTATTGCTCTGTGACCATATTTTCATTATCTACTGTTATTAGAGTCTTTGGTTACTAGGAACAAATCAAATTTAGAATGGAAAATAAACTTGAGGAAAATTTATCTAGTAAAAATGTGTCTATACCCATGCTGAAATCTACAATGGCTTCTATAAATGCTAGTATTTCTGAATGCATTTTTCACAGCTAAATGCAGTGTCTCGTGTGCTGTTAAGGGCCTTTAACAAAACACTAAAGGCAGTGTCTAGTATGTTGTTACGGCCTTTTTCTTATCACCCACCCACCCCTACCCCACAGGTACAAGGCAAAAGAATATTACGAGGCAATTCCTGAGCTGAAGCTGGTCATTGATCAGATTGACAATGGCTTCTTTTCTCCCAAGCAGCCTGACCTCTTCAAAGACATCATCAACATGCTATTTTATCATGACAGGTGAGTTCCCACAAGGAGAGGGTGCTATTTGAGCTGTGAAAAGGGGACAAAAACATCTTAAACCAACTACAACCCACTCATGTAGATTAGCATAGATCTGGGATCTGATCAGATAACCCAGTCTTGGGGGAAAAAAGATATTCTCTGCCAATGATGCAGTAAGGTTTAAAAATAAGACCCACAAATCTGGTATTCTTTTTCTCCATCCACTGATATACCCAACTTTCAAATGCATCCATATGATGACATTCTTACATGTGGGAAGAACCATAAAAAGGTTGAGGGCTGATTAAAATTCTTGTGAACAGAAATATGAATTTGGTAAGCTAGCCATGCCTGACATTTAGCAAAAGAAAATTTCAAATGGAATTTTAGAATGCATCTGTTAATGAAGCTTTTTCTTGTTTTTTGTTTGTTTGTTTTTTCCTTCTAATTAACAAAAATAAACAGATTTAAGGTCTTTGCAGACTACGAAGCCTATGTCAAGTGTCAAGAAAAAGTCAGTCAGCTGTACATGGTAAGTTGCAGAGATTTATAAAAGAAACAAATTTACTATGATTAACTACAATTTTTGTTTCTTTTTATTAAATCTAAATAGCAGGGCCCTACTACCAATCAAAAAAAAAAAGAAAGTGAAGCAATTGTCCAGCTTATTCTGATCAAAACTTGACTTTTCCCATGTTTGGGCAAAGGTTGGGATTTGCCATTTCAGTAGCAGTTAAATGTTTAATTCACAAGTGAAAAATCAAGTATTAAATTTTGTAATATCCAAATAAAAAAATGACAAATAGTTCAATATTTATGGAGCACCCACCCTGTAGCAGGTATATGCTGGAAGCTAAGGATGGAAAGCCTCAGAGAGGCACTGGGACTCCTCCCCTGCCAGGCACTGTGCTGGGCTCTGAGAACACGGCGTGAACAAGGTCAGGTTCTTTCTTTTCTTCCTTCAAGGAGCCTGCTCAGTGCCGGGGTTCTTAACCTGAGGCACACATCAGAGTCACCAGCACAGCTCTTTCACAGTACAGAGGCCAGTCCCCTAACCACCCCACCCACCTCCTCTGAGAGATTCTGACCCAATAGTGGATGGGACCACCATCAGTATTTGCAAAACCTGCAAAGAGGATTCTAAGCTGAGCCTCAGTTTATTGGGATAAGACTGATCCCCTATTCTTTGAAAGTTGGAAAATAAGTACCTCTCCTGGACTACTCATAGAGTGGGGCTATATGAATAGAATATAAATGTATAGGGCCGGCCCGGTGGCGCACTGCTATAGTACGCCACTTGGGAGTGCGGCGGCGCTCCCGCCGAGGGTTCGGATCCCACATACAGACCGGTTCCCGCTCACTGGCTGAGCGAGGGGCGGGCACAGCACCGAGGGTTGCGATCCCGTTGCCGGTCCCGGTCCGGTACGGGCGCGACACTGAGGGTTGCGGTCCGTTGCCGGACACGAAAAAAGACAAAAAGGAAAAAAAAAGAATATAAATGTATAGAAAGAGGAGAGGTTTCATATTTGAATGTTCGAAAAAAAAGAAAAGGAGAAAAATAAGGAAGCCTATACTATAATTAAAAAAAAAAAAAAACCCAATACAAAAAAAGGTCAGAACCATGTGAATAAGACTTCCTATGCAAAGTTATACATCTTTATCAAATAGCTCTCTGTTTTGTAAACATGCGGAAAGGTTGATCATCTCTTACAGGAGAGACTTTTAGTGAATTGCAGGTACCCTGGGGGAACACAGAGGAGAAGGCTAGCTCTGTACCAAGACTCCAGGTTGGGCTTCACTAACATTTTTCTCTATTCCTTCCCCAAGGCAGGTGACAGGATAGTTCCTACAGTTGTCCCAGATGTCCCACTGGGGTTTTAAAATAGGATAATTCCAGGCCTGTGCTGCTTTACAGCCCTTATATTCTGGTAGAGTCACGTCCAGTCCCCCAACAGTATAAAGGGCAGAACAAGTTCAAATTAAAACCAGCAAGGGCCCAGTGCTAGGGCCAAGCTAAGCGGCGACTTACTGCTTCCTGGACACTGGAGAGGGTGGCCACATACGGCCCCCAAGAACTCAAAGGCAGAGGGAAGAGAATGGCGTCCTCACGAAATATGAATAAAACAGAGAAAGAAAGGACTGAACAGGGCAAGGGAAATGTGAATGTCAGTGTTAAACAATGGGTCTCCTCTGTTAAAATTATGACCCAAATCCAAAGGATGCCCATCTAGAAGCCCAGCATTTGATTCAATACTTCTTGTTCATTAGTGCAAATTGTAGGTTTGGGGTTTTTTGTCCCCCCAAATTGCAGTTATTTACTCTTAACAATAATTGTATTGTTGAGGCTTAGTAAACATGACCCATATGGCTGGCAAGTCTATTCATATCCATTTAAATAAAGAAAGTGAAGAGAAAAAGCTTTTATTCCCCTGATACTATAGTAAGTTTCCAAAGTCTGAAAAACTAATTTCAGATTCTGTTTTGCAGTACAGAAAGGAATGAATAGCTTTAGTCTTTCTTTTAAATGCTTATAATGCATTGCTAGTGGATTTGAATAATGTCCTGTCATTTCCAATAGTTCTAGAGTTCTTTACAAAATCATGAGGCTATCAAATAGCTTCTTATCCTATTATGAAAATTATGAGATTTAGATGTGATTTTTTAAATTAAGGATAAAGCCTTAATTGACCCTATTTTGAAACCCCAATGGAGTGTTTGGGATTCAGTGTAAACCTACTGAGGGACGTACCTTCAGAAAGAACAAGATACGCTAAGTGTGTCAGTAAAGCCTCCCATGGGATGGTTTGCCTACGCTATAGCTAACATTCTAGAGGAGAGTTTCTCAAACTCTGACTGTGAGACACTGGTTAGACTTCTTTACCATGGCGTCTAGCAGACAATGAATGACAGTCTCTTCCTTCCCCATAGTTTAAAGGGAGTGATCTTTGTTCATAAAAAAGCATGAGAAATACAGTTCACCTGCCAAAACTTTGTAACCATGACAGGAATATATCCTTGGTTTCTCGAAAAGTGGAAAGTTCTTTTTTTTTTTTCATTCCTAAGAGAAACATACTCTAAATATGAAGAAAGTGCAGTCTGTCCTACCTCCCTCTCAGCTGAGGAACAAGTGAATGTACAATTCACTACAGTCTATTACTGTCGTTTTCCTCATGAAATGTGCTAGGATGTGCTTGGCCTGATGCTAGTCTTAAAGCTTGCTGGGTACTCAGGCACTGGGCTGTATATACATGTGTTGTTTACAGAATCCAAAGGCCTGGAACATGATGGTACTCAAAAACATAGCCGCCTCGGGGAAATTCTCCAGCGACCGAACAATTAAGGAATACGCCAGGGACATCTGGAACATGGAGCCTTCGGATCTAAAGATTTCCCTGTCCAATGAGTCTAGCAGTGGGGTGAACAAAGCCAATGGAAATTGAATTCTAAAATGCCTCTAGAAAAAAATAGCTTCTTACTGAACTTGAACATTTTTATGAAATTCATTGATTTTGTTGTTGGGGGGGGGTTGTTTTTTTGTTTTTTTGGATTTTGTTAGCTAGTAAAGAGATTGAACCCCGGACCTTGATGTTTTCAGCACCACACTCTAACCAACTGAGTTAACTGACCAGCATGTTTTGTTTTGTTACCTAATAATCGTGTTAAGTATCTCTGGGAATGGGGAGGGGAAGTGTATGACTGTATTACGGCTAAAAATAAGGTGTCAATTTCCAAGGGCTACGTGATTGCCAAAACTTATTATTTCACAGCAGATCAGTAGCCTGCTAGGACTTTCCCCAAAGCTAATCAGAAAGCTAGAAAATTGCTTGGAAGTTTTTTATTCCATTTAATCGAACTAAATTAAAATACAAATTATTAATCTACATTGGAGCAACATTCTTACACTGCTGTCTAAGTCCAAAGCACAGACCACTGTCTTAGTCCATTTGGGTTGCTATAACAAAATGTCTTAAACTGGATAACTTCTAAACAACAGAAATTTATTTCTCACAGTTTTGGAAGCTGAGAAGTCCAAGATCAAGATGCTGGCAGACTTGGTGTCTAGTGAGGGTCACTTTCTGGTTCATTGATGGCACCTTCTCATTGTGTCCTCACATGGTGGAAGGGGTAAAGGGCTCCTTTGGGCATTTCTTATAAGGGTACTAATTCCATTCATGAGAGCTCAGCCCTCATGATCTAATCACTTCCCAAAAGACCCCATCTCCTAATACTATCACCATCATATTGGTGATTAGGTCTCCAACATGGATTTTGGGAGCGGATACAAACATTCAGACTGTAGCAACCACCTTATTCCCAAATATCCCCTAGATGTTTTATAACTACACATTTTTAGCTGGGATCCAAATTTTACCAAATTCTGATTCTCCACACAGTGAGGTTTCAGTAAGTTTCACAAAGTAGACTATAATAAGCTAAATGAGAACATTCCATACTGCCCTGCATCCATGCTTTCTTTATTAAATTAGCAAGTGACTTGCAGAAATGCCAATAGCTTCAGCTCATCCAAGCAGCCGGGTACAATTTTACATAAAAAAACACACATTGCAGTTGGTGTTTGGGCCAAGACTTCACTGAAGATTTCCGCTTCTCTCAGACCTTATGCCCACTGCTTGCTCAGGAAATCTCTGCAGAAAAAGGACCTAAATCAGCTCACGCACTTTCCCCACCTTGTGGTCTAAGTAAGCCAAAGCAGCCTAATTGCCTCTATGGGGAAGACACATGTAGCAAAGCAACTCTTACCTCACGGTTATTAACAGTTTGGGGCTTTTACAAAGGAAGTTGTGTTGGAAGCCAGGAGGAAAGATAACCATCTTGACCCTCTCTTTGTTCCTGTATGCATTGTGTGCAATTTCATAGAGCTGCAAGGGACAGAAAGACAGAGACTCAAAGGCTGACAATTCAAAGCCGTGGGTTTTCTACTCCAATTTTACTAAAAGGGTATAGAAACAGCCAACTTCGGGAGTTTGTCCCATTAAGCCAGAGACATGCGGACTCTCCATGTTCCCAATTGGCTGCCTCTACACTAAAGCACTGAATGCTACACAGCATCAATAAAATATCCATAAAACATTGTCCTTCCCCTGCCCATACCTTTCTACAAAGGGACAAAAAAATTGCTACAGACCTGCTCTAGCAGAGGTTTGTTTAAAGAAAAAAAACAGCATCCCCATTTTTAGTGCTACTGCAAAAGAGACTACATGGAAGTTCCCACAGCAGCCTGGGATCTTCTCTCCACTTGCAGATGCAAAGACCCCAGACGAACAACCAGGCTCCACCACAAACACTGCTTTGAGCTGAGTAGCGAGGATGCTGATCTCATTGTGTAAACCAGCAGCATGGCTATTTAGGGGTGTGGTGAATCCCCTATAATGTGAGAGACCCTCCTTTAGGCTCTAATCAAAGTTTGGATAAATAAAAAAGTGGCAAAATGAGTATAGTACATTTTAGTCAGCCCTGAGTTTACCTTTTTTCCGTACTCCAAAGGCACTGTCCTGTCATCCTCTCCATGTATGATGAGAAGGGGAGAAGACAGGAATTTCACACTAGGGACAAGTAGAAGAAAAACATGCAGTTCAGGAATTATACATTGAGATTTCCCCTCTTCTAAGTTAAAGCTTTAGCAAAACATGAGGTTTGCCCAAAGTACAAGAAGTCTCTCTCTTTCCTTCCAAGGAATAACAACTTCATATGTAAAAAACCTCATATAGTAACTTTTTTCCCGTCAGGTAAGTTTCCCTGTCTTCCATTTACTCATATAATTTAATTGGGTATTTAATTTAATTTACTTTTACATGATTTTTTGAAAATACTGAAGAAAAACACTAAGACACGAAATTTGTACACTGTCAAAAGAACTATTTTCTTCTGTATTCCACCTTATTACCTGATATCTGAAATACTTTAAAGACTATAAAAGAAAACAAAATAACTCAAAACCCAAAAATAACAAAAATTGCCACAGAACCAAGAGACCTCTTTGTAGCAATTTATTTACCTTTCCCCATAAATGTGGAGGATGGACATGCAATTAATGGGTTTGATTAGCTTCCCGGTCAGCCTCCTAGTTTAGAAATTCAAAAAGGCTATGGCATGAAGAATGCCTGGTCTCCCACTTCAATGTCTTTCTCAAAGAAAACTTCCCTGCCCCCCCCCCAAATTCTGATACCCATCCAGCCCTGCCTCAGTGACTCACTGTTACTCCTGACAGTAGTAGATTCCCTCAAGTGTGTTGAAATAGAAAAAAATACTGACAATGACTGCCTATTTGGAAGCCTTCTTAAATTTTCTGTGAGGGACTAATTGGCCAAATTCTAGTTGCTGGATGGTAGATGGGTTTGGGTTACACGGGGAGTAAGGCTTAGAAGTCAGGGATCCCCCAAGGAATGTTAGACTAGATCCTAGAGGACCTTTAAAAGGTCCTGATAGGCCATAAATATACAACGGCCTTTATGACTCCAGAGAGTGCTGAACTGAATTGGTGAAATCATCAAATTAGAAATGAGAAAAATAGCAAATACTAAAAATGCATAGGTACCTTAACCCAAATTCTAGTACCATCTAAGAATGATAGAAGGATATTCAGACTTATCATCATCCAGTAAGTCACATGATAGTCATCTTTAGAATCCCATAAATATAGCAATAATGGACATCTTTTCATCTTTAGCTTACTTTTCATCATTAGGGAAGACTATTTTGTCTTTTCTCAGGGCATCCATAAGCGTGCGTAAAAATCCTGGAAGTTTCCGGTAAATCTATTTTTAAAAAGAAAAAAATTAATACTTGCCCCATAGCTATGCCATTTGTTATAGTCTCCCACTATGAACCAAAGTAACATAGAGTAGTGACTTTCTAAATATAAAAAACTTTTAAAAAACTTTTATGATTTTAAAAAGTAATTCATGTTATTGTAGGGAATTTGGGAGAAAAAAAAAACAGAAAGGAACAAAGAAGAAACAAGTCACATAATCCTGCCATTGTAGTTAATCACTGTTAACATTTTGTTTTTACTTCCTGTCTTTTTTAAAAATACAAATGGCACCACTAATTCTTAATTCTCCATCCTCATAAAGGAGCAGTGATATGCAAAATCTAAAAACTACTTCTACAGTAAACATAGTTAGTTTACCTAGTCTAGTTGAGGAATAGAATATTGATTAGTGAAAAATTCTGGTGAAAGTGTACAATACATAGATAATTGGTTTTAGAGGGTATGAACATTACAAACTATTAAATATAATTTAATATTACAATGCTTTAAAAGACATTTATGTTTTAACAATTACCATAGGACTCCAAATGTAACAATTATCATTCTAAACATACTGAATTTCCTCTTTAATGGCAAAAATCCAATAAATAGGAGATGCTACTTAAATACATTTTTACAATATTTTGATTAAGTCAATATGTAAATTAGTTTATATGTCCTAAAAACATCTATTTCAACTGAAAATGAGGAGGAAAGGGCAGAAACCCGGAGCGATACAGCACCTTCTTCCCAAACTTTGAACCCTATCCCACACAGTATCCCAAATCCATTCATTTCTCTCCATCTCTACCAACACCCAGCCTAAGCCACCCTTAATTTCTTGCTTGGGCTATGACAACAATCCCAAGTGGCTCCCAGCTTTCACCTTCACCCTTCTATAATCCAGTACCCACAGAGTGATCATTTCAACATGCAAATCAGATCACATCACTCTTTTGCTTAACACCCTCCAAAGGCACTTGGATTAAACCCCAACATGTCATTTCAGCCTTCGAGGTGAAGAATCTGGCCACAGAATCTGGTGGTTGCCTGTACCCCCAGTCTCATCTCCTATCACTGTGCCCCTTTCTGTCCACCTTCAGACTCCACTGCCTTCTGCTCCAGGAACACACCGGGCTTGACCCCACCTCAAGGCCCTCACCTTTGCTTTTCCATCTGCCTGAGACCTCCAGATTTCCCCATGGCAGTTGACTCCTTCTCATGCAGGCCTCAGCTCAGATGGTATTTCCTAAGAGAGGTTTTCTATAACCAGCTGTCAAACCACCACCCAGTCGTGCCCTATCGCGTTATTTCATGCTTTCACAGCACTTCTCACTACTGAATACTTTCCTCTACACTTGTCCTCTATCTGTTTCTCCAGCAAATATGCAGACTTTACAGGGGGAGCGACCACAACTTTCTTACTCCCCGTGGTATCCCCAGAACCTAGAAAAGTTCCTGGTACATAATAGACACTCAACAAATATTTGCTAAAGATGCAAATCTTTATGCATATGTTATGCATATACCCCTGCTGTACACTTTAAGCTATTATCTGTCATTTTCATCTCAGTGTGACTGAATTTCAGAGTATATTCCTTAGACTAAATGTACACAGAGGGAAAAAGCAGCAAAGCATTGCACGTACTCCTCTGTCATACCTGAAAGGGTCGGGGTGGGGGGATGTGATGTAGTAAATGGGACATCACCAAGGGAAGGAAATGAGTACAGAATAGGTAGGCTGGGGCCAATCAACACAAACTTCTGCTTCACAATTTTTTAAAAAGAAAAATAAATCATTAAAATGTGCACCATGGGTTGGCTGGTGGCTCACTTGGGAGAGCATAGTGCTGACAACTTCAAAGTTAAAGTTCAGATCCCTGGTCCCCCAGAACCCCATACCAGCCAGCCACCAAAATAATAATAATAATAATAATAATAATAATAATAATAATAATAATAATAAAACTTGCCCCATGGCCATAATGTGATTTGGTATAGTCTCTCACTATGAACTGTAGTAATATAGAGAATAGAGAAAATAGAGACTTTCTAAATATAATGAACTTTTAAAAAACTTTTTTTCTGATTTTAAAAAGTAATTCATGTCATCGTAGGGAATTTGCTAAGGAAATGGGTACAGAATAGGTAGGCCAGAGCCAGTAAATACAAATTTCAGCTTCCCGGTTTGGGCTTAGCCTTGCTGTTTCCACGAGCCTCCTTGGTTTCATGGGATTTGTCAGCAAATGATCTGAATTCAGGTATGGTCTGGAGATCCTAACACTGCCTCTCCTCTTCCTTTTTTCTCTCTCCTCTTCTATGCTAAGGGCAGAATTTTTTGTTTTGTTTTCCCTTTTCTTTGTCTTCTCATTTCCCAACCACTGGAAATCAGGACTCCTTTGAAGAAAATTCAATGAGAGAAGCCCTGCAGCAATTCATCTCGAATTCTGAAGCAATAAGAAGAAAGTAGACCCAAGTCAATCTACGCCCACCATTCCTCACACCCTTCCAGGCAGGGATTCCCCTGGAGACTGAAAGGTCATACCATCCCCTCCAGCCCAGACCATGACAATGGGTTCCTAATTGGTCTTCCTACCTTCCTCTCCCTTCTGGAATACCACCAGATAAATATTCTTAAAATGCCAGTTACAGGAAATCCAGTACAACAAAGCTTTGGGAATGCCACACTGTCTGCTAACAACTCACAGCTTGACTGCAAGCCCATCCACATCTGGCCACAATCTTTCATTCCGGAGACTGCTCACATCCAATCTGTCTGCGTGGAGTTAGAAGATGTAAGATTGAGAGCAACTGCCTCTTCTTATATGATAATTAGTCAAGCCTCTAAGCCCGCATTTCCCTCATCTTTAAGTGGAGGCAATGATGCCAAACTCACAGAGATGCTGTGAGGATTTAACAGGATAACGAGTGTGAAAGAACGTATATGGAAGCCCTATACTGACTCTCAGGTATTTCAGAACACACAGTTGCCCCATTCCTGCCAGGGCATTGGCTCACACTCCCTACCGCCTCTCTTTGTTTCTAACTGCTTTCCCTCACCTTCAAGAAAGGAGCTCAGATCCCCTCTGTCTGTAAAGTCTTCACTGACCACACCTGTGTGTGAGACCTCTCTTCTGAGTTTTCCCCACCCTGAGATTATCGTTCTGGGTCCTCCACTAACACTTACCTTAGTCTACTGTGCAACAGAAAAAGTGGGAAAAGGGAAGGAGCATTTGTTAAATGCCTACTAGCAGCTGGCACTTTATATACCTTATCTTACTTAATTTAATCTTCACAACAACCCCATGCAGTAGACATTATCAACCCCATTATGAAAAATGGAAAAACTAGGAGAAGGGAAACAACTTACCCAGATCATAAAGGGTTGGCGGCAGGGGCTAGATTTGAACCCAACTCTGTCTCCCCAGCACATGCTCTTTTTCCACTACACCATGCTGCCTTCCTAACAAAATTCATTCCAGAGTGACACATGGAAATCTCTGTTGTTACTTCCTACCTCCCATCTATGTCCTATCTCTCCAACTAAACAGAAAGCTTCCTGAGGTTGAGCACCCATGCCTTTTACTACATGTGTGCCTCACACCACTCACACTTTCTTGTTCAACACGGATGGTCAGAGTTATGGCACTCTACTGAGAATACAAAGGGCTGACATCCACTGAGTGCTTACTCTCTACCAGGCACTACTGTAGATGCTTTTCATATATTCACTCATTTAATCATCACAAAAAGACTGGCAGGTTAGCTCAGTCGGTTAGAGCACAGCCTTATAACATCAAGGTCACAGGTTCAGATCCCTGTACCAGCTAGCTGCCACCAAAAAAAAAAGGAAATGCCGCCTCCAGAAAATTTCAGAAAACCCAGAAGAAAAGTAAACAGTGTGAATAATTATCACAAAAATCTTGAATAGACAATTACTACCTCATTTTACAGAAAAGGCAGTTAAAGCAGTCTAAGCAATTAGCCCAAAGTTACCCAGCTGTTAAGTGACAACCCTGGAAATCAAACCTGGGAGGTCTGACACCAGAGCCATGAAAGACTGTACAATACTACAGGACTGTTACCCTTCTAGACCATAGAGTGCCTGTTAAGCTAGAGATGATGACATCTTAAATTAAATTGCAAACTAAAAAATTGGGAGATCCTCCTCTTCCAATAATAGAGGAATTGTTACAGACTAAACCTTTTGCCAAAGACAAGTAAAAAAACTTGGCAAAATACAAAAAAGACTCTCATGAAGGCATCAGAAACCTACCAAGGCAGTGAGGTCCTGAGAGGTCTAGATCCTAGAGAGACAGGAAGGTCAGAGAGGTGAGCCTGACATACAACACCATTTTTCTCGTTGGGAAAGAAAGCAAGAAAATAGAGGCAAAAGAGCACAGAACAGATGACACAAATAGAAAAGAAGATTGTAAGGGAGCAGATTTAAACCTAAATTTATAATAATTACATTAAATGTAAATAGACTACTATAATTTATAGACAAAGTCTGTTATTATGGGAAAGAAATCAAAATCCTACCGTATGGTGTTTATCAGAGATATACAATAAATATAAGAATTCAGAAAAGTTGAGATTCAAGAAATAGAAAAAGACCATGCAGATACTAATCAAAACAAAAATATACTAATATTGGACAAAGTTGACTCTAAGTCAAGAAGCACTGTTAGTCACAAAAAAGGGGGGATATTTCATGATTTAAAAAAAGGATCAATCCACCTGAAAGACAAAAATTAAGCATATGCAACTAATAATTTAACATCAAAAGAACAAAAGCAAAACTTGACAGAACTAAAATAGAAATAAACAACTCCACAATCATGGTAAAATATGTTAATACTCTTCTCTGAGTAATGGAAAAAATAAGCAGTCCAAAAAAAATCAGTAAGGTTATGGAAGAATTGAACACATGATTAATAATGTTGATTCAACTGACATATATAGAACCCTGCACAAAAAACAGCAGAACACATTCTTTTCAAGCATATGGAATATTCACCAAAATTGACCATATACTGGGACATACAGCAAGTCTCAACAAATTTCAAAAGACTGGAATCATACACAATATAGTCTTAGATCATAACAGAATTGAGAAAGAACTTAATAACAAACATAGTAAAACTCCCAATGTATAAAATTTATGAAATACACTTCTAAATAACCCATGTGGTCAAAAAAGAAATCACAGAAATATTAAAAAATACTTTGAACTCAGTGATAATTAAAACACTTCAAAACTTGTGAGATGCAGTTGAAGTGTGGCTTAGGTGGAGTATGCCTTAATGCATAAATTAGAAGAGAAGAAATACTGAAAGTAAATTATTAGATAGTATTAAGTGCCATCTCAAGAAATTTTTAAATAATAAATCCAAGGAGAATACAAGAAAGGCAATAATAAAGGTAAGATCAGAAATTAATAAGATAGCATACAATACAAATGATGAACAAGGTCAAAGTTAGTTCTTTGAAAAGACTAATAAAATTAACTCCTGCCAGTGAGTATTGGCTGCTAATGGCTCAGAGCTGCTTCTCCTTGCCCTTGGATGACAGAAACCATCATTCCTGAAAGGTTATACAATCCTCCCCAACCTTCCTCCACTCCCTACCCCAGGGGATGTAAGAAACCACCAGCCCCCTTGCCTCAAAGCCTAGCGCCCCACGTGGATCAGGCCAAAGCTAGACTTCACCTGAGTTCACATCCTTCTGCTCTTTCCCCAGCTCTGTGCTACTACCCTCATTCCCTGCAGGTTTTTCCTCGAGTGCACTCACTCAATAAATCACACTCCAAATCCCTACCTTGGGCTATGCTTCTAGGAAAACATGACCTAAAGCTGAAACTAAAGAAAACCTAAATAATAATAAATAAACAAAATAAATGCCAAAATAAATAAGTGATAAATACAATGTTCATGAATCAGAAAGCTCAATATTAGAAAGATATCAATTCCCCCAAATTGGATCTATAAGTCCAATGAAAGCCCAATCAAAGTCCCAGCAAGTGTTTTGTAGAAATTGATAAGTATATTCCAAAATGTATATGGAAATGCAAAGGGTCAAGAATGCCCAAAACAGTCTGAATAAGAACAAAGCATAAGAACTTATACAACCAGATATGAAGACATATTATAAAGCTACAGGAATTAAGAGATTATAACATTCATATCAGGATGGACAAATAAACAATGGAAAGAGATAAGAATCTACCAAAGACCCCTGTATACGAGGGTACTTCAAAAAGTTCATGCAAAGATTAGTATTATCTTTTAATTCTATTTTTCCATGAACTTTTTGAAGTACCCTCATATGTAGGGACACTGATATTTTCAAACATTGGCACTGCAGAGTCGGGGGAAAGGTCCATGTAATAAGTGGTGCTGGGCCAAGTGGACAACCATATAGACCCCTTCCTCCATACAAAAATCCAAACCTGTGGATTATAAATTTAAATGCAAAATGTAAAAGAGAGTTTCTAGAAGATAACATAGAAGAGGATCTTCATAATCTTTGGGTAAGCAGAGTTTTATTATACAAGACACAAAAGTATTAACAATAAAAACACTGATAAACTGGTTGACATTAAATTTAAGAACATCTCTTTATCATCACATACATTTAAGAGAGTAAAAAGGCAAAACAAAATAATAGAATATATTTCAATACGAATAATTTTCTAATGACTCATCTCCAACATCTATGAAGAACTTCTACAAGTAAAAAGGAATACAACTCAACTGAAAAGTGGACAAAAGACATGAACGAGTGCCTCAAAAGAGATGATACCCAAATGGCTAATAAACATATTTAAAAATTGCCCAACGTCATTACTCATCAGGGAAATGCAAATTAGAACACAGTGATATGAGCAAAAGAATGTGAAGCAACTGGAACTCCCATACACAATTGGTGGGAGAGTGTGGTAGAGTCATTATTAAAAACTGCTTGACACTGTAACTACTAAAGCTGAACAGATGCATATCTTATTACCCAGCAATTCCACTGCTAGGGTATACCCAGTGAAAATTGTGCAGATGTTTACAGAATACAGGTTCAAGAACATTAATAACAACAATAGTATTAATTGCCCAAAGTGAAAGTGACCTAAACGTCCATAAAAAACAGTATAGATCAATAAGTTGTGGTATGTTTATACAATGGAATGCAACAGAGCAATGAAAATGACCAAACTATAGCTACATGCATCATGAATAAAATTCCACAAGTACAATGTGGGGTGAAAAAAATAGAATATATCATATGTAATTCTACTTATATGTAAAGTTCAAAACCAGACAAAATTATATTGCTTGCAGAGGCACACACAGGTGGTAACACTATACAGAAATGCATGGCTATGATTACCATAAAAAGCATCTAAGGATTACTTTTAAGGACTAAGGATTACATATAAAACGGGACATATTGGATTGGGAAGTAACCTACAGGAGACTTCTGGGGGGCTTGTGATGCTAATTTTTGACTTAGGTGGTAGCTACATGGGTATTCAGGTTATAATTACTCATTAAACCATGTATTTTCTCTATTTTGCTAAGTTTCAAAATTAACAAAAAAGGTTTTTAAAAAAACTGAAAATTGTATCTGAATTCTATTATGTACCTATCATTTAATGATTTTATTAGTAATTACTTAGAATAATATAATAGACGCTCGGTTAATGGTAATATTAAGATGAATATTCAGTTGTTTAGAACCAGTTGAAAAGATATGATTTATTAAATGTTAAATTACTCAGCATTCAGTATTTTAGATTGTAGATGGGGTTACTGTATTAAGTTGACGCTCAGACAGTAAAAGCATTTTCAAGATTGTGTGATTCCATGAACTGGCTGTCCCAGGAAGTGGTAAGCTACCTTTCCCTAAAAATAGTTAAGCATATTCCAGAAAATTCTATGATGGATTATTATACAAAAGATTCCAAAATTAGACAATTAGATTAAAGTATCCCCTAAGATGCCTTACAGTATTTAACAATGGTTTAAAAATTGGGGCCATGTATCTCCTCTAAGACTTCTATATCTTTCTCTCTCTTTCTCCCTTCCTCCATTCCTCTCTCTCTCTCTGGCTCGTTTACTAACATTTATATGAATGTATGACCATAAGCAATTAAGCATTAGGCATGGAAAAACATTATAAAATTAGGATAATCTACGTAACAGATTTTAAAAACTACATATTGTTGCCCAATTCTTTATATGTTATTTTCTTGGAAAGATTGTCTTCTCTATCTGGAATACTGCGTAAAAGCATTTGGCAGCTTTCTTGAATTCTCTAGAAACTTTCTTATGATAAAATCATAAAAGATATATGGCTGACATTCATAGGGTCAAAAATGATGTATGAAACGTTTGTTTTCACCTATAAAAAGAGTAATAATAATAAATAATAAACCTAAAACAAGTCTATCTATTAAAAAATTATGAAAGATAAGAGGCACAGTTAATGAGAACAAAAGAGCTTTTGCTCTTAATAAGCTCAATGTATTAAAAGAAAATAGAAGAACTACCAAATCCAAAAGCCATTGTGTCCCCTTTAATAGTAACTGGTTAATGAACTGTCTCAGTTTAGAATAACTTAGAAACATATGAAACTAATTAAGAAAAAATGACAGTTAATAAACACACATATGTGGAAAGAGCTACACTTTGACATCTTGTGAAGATGAATCAGGACCCACCTTTAACAAGGGATAATTGATACTTGCAACCCACATGTTGGTAAACGGAGCTTCCAAGACAATAGCGTCAACTGGACATCCTTGAAAATAATAAAAATATTTTAAAAGAAATCAGCAATTCCCCTATTTAAATACCACCTTCCCTAGATAAGGGGTCCTCAAGGCATTGAACATGAACTACCTGCATCAAAATCATTTGCGAAGCTTATTAATAATGCAAATTCCTGGACTCTACACCATACTTATGAGTCAGAATCTCAGGGGTGGGAGCTGAGCACGTGCATTAACAAGCACCCTTCTCCCCCCACCCCCACCCCACCCCCAAGGAGACTTGTATGCACATGATAATTGAAAACCACTGCTTTCTTCTAAGAACACCACCAGATTGTCACGGCTTGGGTAACTTAAAGAAAGCAGTGTTCTGCAGTCCATTGTTGAGAATGGTCCAAAATGATAAACTCATGAGGTGACTGACATTAACTACCCTAACTCGGTTATTATACAAAATATTTATGTATCAAAACATCAGATTGTATCCCATAATTATGTATAATTACAATATGTCAATTAAAATTGAGAAAAAAAAAAAAAAAAAGAATGTGCCCCAGAAGCTGACTAGGCGGTTTTGGTCAACACTCCCTCTGAGAACAATTAGAAAACATGTGTGGGAGGGGGTGGTATCTGTTTAAAGTCATAGGAGGGCTGCTGATCAGTGAGAATTTTCAGAGCCAGTATCAAAGGAGGAAAGCCACGAGAGTCTCAGCTGCCTTTTTTCTCAGAGCAGTTGAAACTCTGAAAACAATGCTAGGATTAGAGACTAGACAAAACCTTAAGCCTTCTTACAGAAGCAAAAGGAAAAAAAATAGAGTTCAAGATGTGACAAGAAAGAGAACCCTACTGCCTTTCTCAGGCTTCTGGCTGTGACCTCGAAGGACCACTTCCTAGGAATAACAGTGAACTAGAAATAGACCAACCCTCAAAGTCTGAACACCAGCTTCAAATCAGCTCAATCCCTGATTGGATCAAGGTGATCTGTCCCTACCATAACTGTCTTTCAGGAGAAAAGTAAATTATTTCTGGAAGGAGATAACATCACCCAAGCCTCAAATCATCCCTACAATTTTCCATCAACAATGTGAAAAACTCAATCAAAAATAACTAGACATACAAAAATAGACCAAAAAACAAAAACAAAAAAAGCAGATAGCTGGCTTTGGAATTTTGAAATTGTACAGCATTAGGGTAATAAAGATTTGGTTTTATCCAACAGCTCTCTATATGGAATAAATTCTAATTTTAGATCTTAAAAAATACTGACCTGTCCTTATTTAGGGAGACTCTAATTCGTGAAACCAGATAGGAGCCAGAAAACCTGGGTTTTTAACCAGTATCCCCAGTAGATTCTGATACAAGCAGTTCTCAGATCACCTTGAGAAACACTGCCATGAGTATTATGGAAGAAGAGCTGCAGAAGGCAAGTCCTGCCTATCATTTCAAGATGTATTATTTTCCTCTCCTGCAATTTAAATTAATATCACTTTTCAAGGAGGGCTCTTTCAAAGGTAATTTTTCCTCTTTCCTTAGTATTTATTTGTAATTTTATAACCTAGAAAAGAATCTATTATTTTATGTTAAATGAAAAGTTTGTTACACTGTTAGAAAGTATCTAAAGTTGGAATACTTTATATATGTGAGTATTCAAAGTTTGCACAAGTCTCTTGATTGTTTTTAATTATATTTTAAATTGATACATAATTGTACATATTTATGGGGTACATGTGATATTTTAATATATGGATACAACATGTAATGATCAAATAAGGGTAATGGCAATATCCATCAAATACATCAAACAATTATCATTTCTTTGTGCCAGGAATATTCCAAATCTTCTCTTCTAACTATTTTGGAATATACAATAAATAATTGTAAACTATAGCCACCCTACTGTACTATCAAACACCAGAACTTATTCCTCCTATGTAACTGTATTTTCATACCCATTAACCAGCCCTCCCTATCTCCTTCTTGGACTGTTTTTATTTTTCCACCTCAAGCCAAGAAACTATACCACTTAAGCATTTTATATTACCTTTCTCTTCTAATACTTTTGCCGCATTTGTTGCAACCCTGTAAAGCAATAAAAATCAGTATACATGTGAAGCAAAGACTTAACAGTCAAGTAAATAGTACAAAATACAACATCTGATATGAGCATCTGGTGAAAGCTTTGGACTCTTTGGTTAGAAAAATGCAAATAGACACAAAATTTTGCACAGTATTTCATAGGGTACCCATACACCTTAAATTAAGGATTCCTTTCTTTAAAACTCTCAAGGAGAGTTCCAGAATGGACTTCAGTGTCATAGATAACCATAGATCTGAATGGACCCTCTCTTGTTTTACAAACAGGCACACTAAGATGACAAGGTCTCTGGCCACCTCAGGAGCGTGAGAGAGACCAGAGAAGAGTCCCTGTCTCCTGGCTCAGGGTTCCTTCTACTGCTCACCGCTGCCCTTGATATGACACTGAAGCCCCAAGGACCCGTCTAAGGACACATTTTAGATTGCACTTACCCTGTTCCCAGAGAGTGGCCCCAGAGACACACAGGGGTGGTGCCACTTCTTGCCTTGGTCCATTCATAGACACAAATAGCATCCACAGTCAGTCCCTCCTCTGTGGGCTTACCTGTAGAGTCCCCAAACCCTGGCAGCAAGAAAAGGCAAACACAGGATCACTACCTCCAAAAGGAGGACTCATCAAAAGCCTCCTGTTTATTGAAAAATCTTTGTACACTCTTTTTAACATTTACCTCTGTAGTCAACAGACAAGACATGAAAGCCACCATCGCTCAGCACCTAGATGACAAAGAAGCTGTTATCACTTTAATCAGAAGCTGTAAACAGGCTGGCAAGTTAGCTCAGCTGGTTACAGCATGGTGTTGTAACACTAAGGTCAAGGGTTAGAATCCCCATACAGGCCAGCAGCAAAAACTTAATAATATAATAAAATAAAAGGCTTCTCCTCAACAGGTCCATATCCCTAGTTGTGATGGTTTAATAGGTGGGGGAAAGATACATTTTTGAAATCTGGTGTTTGATTTCAAAGGCCAGAAGACCAGACTCCGTGGGAAAGAGGAAAAGCAGCATGACAGAGTAGGTCAAACAGCCTGGGTCTCACCTGGCTCTACCCCATGCCAGCTGTGTGACCCTAGCCAAGTTATTTAACATCTAAATATGTAAATATTATTCTGAAACGTGAAGAACAATAATAGTTACCTTCAGTTGGTAACTACAACTTCCAATAGTTGGAAGAGTACAAAATGATGTACTAAAGTATCTGATTACCTAGTACTCTGTAAATGTCTTTTTTTAAGGATTACCTTGAGAATAAGAATTCTACACAGAGTTATAGTAGAGGCAATCAAATAATGGGAAGATATTTATATTAAATATGAACAGAGTTAATTTCAATCAAAAATAAAGAGATCACTCAAATATATGAAGCCACTGCCATGCCCCTAGTAAAGGGGGAAAGAATATGAGAACATAATTTTGCATTAAAGAAAATACAATGATAGAGAAGAGAGATAAAAAAGGACAGAATTTTACTGTACAGGCACTTTTGAAACTTTATTTAATCCTCACAACAGTACTATAAGGTAGATATTATACCCATTTTACAGATAAGGAAACTGAGCCTTGGAGAGTTTAACTAACTTGTTCAAAGTCACCCAGTTAGTTAGAGGCAGAACCAAGATGCACATCTGGGTTTGCTATGTACAAATACTGTGCTTCCCCCACTACAATACAGATGAGGATGCTAAACGTCATCAGGAAAATTCAAATACAAATTGAACTAATAATAAGGAACTAAATGGAACTTTTAAATATCTATTCAAATTATAGTCCACCCAAAATGGTTAGCCAAGATACACAACAGCTAAGCATACAGGGAAATGGGAATATTCGTGTGTTGTTTGTTGCACGTGTTGAAGGACCAGTTGACAGTACAACTCAAGAACAGCAGCAAATCCTACTCCTAAGAATTAATCTCTAGGGAAAAATACAAAAGAAGAAAAAACTGGATGCTTACAGTTTTCTGTAGCAATACTGTTTAAAATGAATTTGGGGGGAAAACAACGTATATCCAACAGCAGAGGAATACTTAAGTACACAATGGTTTTTAAATATAATGAAGAATGATACAGCCTTTATACTGGTTAACTATGATGACTATGAAAAACATGGAAGAGTGTTTATAAAACAGTATTCACTTAAAAGGGCACAACAAAATTATATAGATATACAACAACAGTAATAAAAACTTTACGTAAAGAGAGAGAGAAAGACTAGGTGGGAATGCAAATAAATGAAAATACAGTATTAGGGCTGGCTGGTTAGCTCAGCTGGTTAGACCGTGATGTTATAACACCAAGGTCAAGGGTTCAGATCCCCATACCAGCCAGCTACTACAGAAAGAAAAGAAAAGAAAATAGCAGTATTAGGTGACTGCAGTGATGAATGAATGAGTGAATGAGAATTTAATAATGAAGATTTATTTTTTTAAAAGAAATTGCCTATCCAAAAGAGGAAAGGAAGGACTAGGAAGTTTGATCCTGTTGGGCAATGACGACAGCACACTTGATACCCACAGTCTGCCTAGGGAGAAAGTCCTGCCACTCCAGCTGCTGCCCTTCCCCACCCATCCTAACTACCACAAATATTATCTGGCTACTTTTCACACCTACAGCTCTTCTCCTTTCTGGGAACACTGAGGGCATGCAATTCAGCTTTGAGAGGGACAGGGGAAAAAACATACATATTCTCATGGCCATCAGCTTCACCACGTCCCATGTGGGGAGTGCAAAGAGCAGGGTGCAATATGGAAAGCAAACCCACAGATGAATAGACACTGTCCTCCCCGGGACAAACTGCACCAGCCCCTGACTACCCCACAAGAGTTGGCTCTGAGAAGGCAGTGATGAGGGGAGAGAGATTGGACAGGGGAGGAGCTTCCCCTGTGCACAGGGAAGGGAGGATGAAGAAGGTACTGGAGACACTGGGCCTGGCAGGACTCTGGGCCCCACTAATACTGGTATCTCATTAAAGAATTCTGAGGTGGGAGCCAGCATGTGGGAGGGAGACCAAGTCCCGTGCTCAGTCACTGGAAAAGCAGCCCAGTCGCCTGCAGCAGAGATTACCTCACTGGAGTATGGAAGAGGATAAACAGGCAGCTTGCCTGACCAGTTCTGAGGCAGATATGGCTAAGTGGAAAGCCTGCCATCTTTCTCACACTTGGAAATGCAGGGGCTATCCCAAAACATGTGGGGAGCACAGTGTGGCCACCATGCTACCCTACAAGGCCTTACATAGGGCTGAGTGAGTTTTTAAAGCAGATGTTCTGTGTCTTTATCCTATACCACTAAAAATGTTGCTTCTTTCAAAAGGAGTGACCATTTTGCACTTAATATACTGTCTTAACCCATCCCTCAGCCCTCAGAAAAAGCAAATAAAAGTGTCTTCACCTCCATCTGGCAATGGAGGTAATAAGTTCATGAAAGTGTTTTGGGACCCAGAAGTGTTCACACTGGTTTGATCCTCCATGGTCAATGTAGGAAGTCCACAACCCACCCTGGCCACCCTGGGGACCTCTCAGGAGATAACCATGCTGAGGTCCCAAGGAAGATCTTATGACCACAGCTCAGAACAGAATCAATGGGTACTTATAAAACAGACGCTTTTAGGCCTCTTCAGACATACCTTGACCAGCCTAAGTCTCTGAGGGGCTGCCCTGTAGAAAAGATTTTTTAAAAAAAGCAAGAATTAGAAATTACAATGACAAATTCAATAAAAATCACTCATGCTTCTGGCATCTGATCTCTCTCTTTTTTAGGTTAGAGAAATAAATAACTAGGAGAGAGGGAAATGTTTTTGGTGTCAGAGCCAGCTTAGATGTGTCAGGGTGAAATAATCAATGGCTCCCCACTGCTGGGGCGTCCTCTAAGTGAGTGTTGGATGCCCGGATCTCTCGAGTGATTCAACATAAGTATCTGATGAACTACTGATAATTCATCTCCTTTTACTTCTATGAATCAAAACTTATCCTAAGAATACTTTTAGAAGCTAAAGGAAAATAAGCCCCAGAAAGCAGCTTTCAGAACAAGGGATAATACAGTCGAGTTGCCCTAAACTAAGATTTGCCTGTACCCTGTCCACTCTGCCATTAAGTGCAAGATAAAGAGAAGCAAAGAGACTCATAGCCCTGGGGTACTAAAAAAAATTTTCCTCCAAAATGATCATATTGTCTACTCTCTATTAACCACATTAATAAAAAAGAACCAAGATGATTCAAAAGACAGAGAATTTTTAAAAACCATTTGAATTTTGTCTTAGAGCCAAGTTTCCTAAACTTTAGTGGGTCATGGAGCCCTCTGAACATCTAGTTAAAACTATGGACATTTTCCAGAAAAAAAATGTACCCACATGTCAAATTTTACGTACAATTTGGGGGATAGGGCTTGTGGACCCTCTGGGGTTTCCATGGATCCCAAGGCTAGAAGCACTGCTTTTGATGCATCAGCAAGGTTCCCAGTAACCTCCCATTTGAGGGGTACTGCTCAGTACTCAGTACTTCAGCTCAGTACTACTGATAGCAAGCTGAGACTTCTGGGCAGGAGACAAGCAGCAACTCTGGCTAACCCCAGAGCCAGTAAATCTGGGATAACTGAGGGCAACTGCAGATTTACACAGAGGGGCAGACATGCTGTGTGGGCCACAAGATCCTTTAAATACGTATATTGTAACCCCATGCCCAAGTTTATACAAACAGAACAATGTTAAACAATGCTGGAAAATGTTGAATTTCACAGGAAATCTCAGTAAATGTGATTCTAAAATGGACACATCAGGAAAGACCATTAAGAAAAAGCAAGGGTTAAGAGAGCCATCACCTGACAGAAAGAAGACAGTGAGAAAAAGAGACACAGGCAAGGTGGCCAAGAGGCAGATTCCGGGGCATCGCTTAGCTTGAATTGTCTCTCCAGAGACAGAGGAGATCTGTGGGTTCCTCAGGCACGTCGCCCTCCCCCGAGCTGAGGAGGCACAGTCACAGCTGATAATCATCACCCAACGTAATTACACAGGCCCAGGGAAGGCTTTGACAGCACATCAAAGGACAGCCAGATTGCTGGGAGATGTTCTTTGTTACAAAGCAAGGTTGGGAGTGCACAGTGGGCTGAGGCGTGAAAGTCCTCGCCAGTACCTGTGCTCAGAATTCCAGGTGATCTCTCTTGGGGAGTCACGCTTTTGGTTAAAAGAATTAATTCTGAATAAAAGACTCCCCACTATAGCTTTCTGAAAAGACCACTGATGTGAAAAGTTGCTTTTCCCCTCCCAGAATGCGTGCCTATTTCCTTCTAGTCATCCGTGAGTTTAATCCACCACTTCAGACACTTGTAGGGAGTAAAGGAACCACTGCCTTCTTTGAAATCAGTATCCACAGTTTGGAAGAGTATATCTTTTCTTCCACTCAGTGAAATGTCCACATTATTCTACATACAGAATAATGTTTTAAAAAAAGAAGCCTATTGCCAGAACATCCTCAGATTTCAACAAAGGGAAAGAAATATGCGAAGGCCTGCCTGCAGAGTTGAAGACTGAGCCCTGCCCTTCACTCCCCACAGAGCTGAAATGCTCTCAATCTCTCAAAAATAATTTTTTTCTGAAGGAGAGGCACTGACCTGTGTTCTGCACTGCCATGAAGATAAACAATAATTGGGTTCCCGTCATGAAGGGCTGCTTCATACCAGCATCGGTCCTTCCCCTTGGCCTCTTCCCCCCGGCAGCTGGGGACTGTGTGCCTGGAGAGCAAGGAAGGTCTTAACAGACGTGTAGAGAGAGAGAGGAATTCTCTATCCTTGCCAAAGTCTGAAACCTTCCCTGTGTTTTATAGATATATATTTTTTTTAATTTTTGTCCAAGTAACATATACACATGATAAAAATAAAAATCTACTACCACGTAACATGATGAGAACCACTGCTGCCCCACCCCATCTGCCCATGCACAGAGGCAACCCCTTTTAACAATGCTTAAGTTCTTCTGCCTTCTGCACCAATTAATCCTCCAAGACTGCAGTTCTTAGGTGTAGCCCATCGAAATGACAAAAAAAAAGAAAAAAGGTGGAAACAAGTAAAACATAGTAGATATTTGTCATCTGCCATTGGTTTGGCTAAAAAGACAAGTTAGAAAGGATGTAAAGGGAAACCAGTTTATGTAGGAGAAAAGAACTTTAACATGAAACAGTTATTCTACTCATGAAACCAAGTGATCTTTTGATTTTAAATACCTGTGTGAACTCCAGTTCCTCCATCTTGTTAAACCAGTGAATGAACCCAGAAAATGCAAACACTGCCATATGACATGTCACCAGTAGACTTGGAGAACTGTTTAAGAGGTGACAAATCTTTGGTCCTCTCCATCACTTGGGGGAAGAAAGTATGCCATCATCCCCAGGAGTCCCCATGAGGATAGCTGACTCACCAAACTGAGGACAAAGAGGCAAGAGCAAAAAACAAAAAGATTCCTCCCTGCAGATTAGGATGAAGTTATGTGAACCATACTGGTTCCTAAATATTCCATAGTCAGAGATATAAACTCAGGGAGGTTAAATATAAAGCAGGGAACTGGAAACTTAGAAGCCAAGTAGTAGAACCAGACAGAAGAAAATACAGAGGTTAGCATAGCAAAAACAGACATTGGAATGCTCATGACCTCATTTAACAAATATTTTCTGAGTGCCCTCTATGTGCCAAGCATTATGCTAAGCAATGAAAACCCACCAACACAGTCTGTCACCTACAGAAACTATAGTCTTATAAGGAAGAAAAACATTAATCGCATAATCACACAAACATTTATTTAATTACAGTGAGAATAAATGTCATAAGAGACAGCACAGGTGGCCATGACAGCACATACCTAAAATGAGGGGGTGAGGAAAGGCTTCCCTGAAAATTACTGGTTAAAGTGAGACCCAGAAGATGAGTAGGCTGTTAGCTAGGCAAAAAGAGGGAATGGGGGAGCAGAGAACTAGAATGGAGCACTGGGAACAGAGCTCATCCTGGGAGGGAGCCAGTAAGTCTAGAGTAGAGGGCATAATGGCAAGGGAGGTGTGGGATATGGCAGGGGAGGTAGATGAGCTGGAAGGAACATCTAAAAGATCTCACACTCCAAAGTAAAACTCCCAGGGAGCAAAATCAAGCAGGTCAAATTTCAATTTAAGGGGAAGGTATGTGGGACAACGTCCAGGTGCTTCCGAAGACCACCAACCTCCTCTCCAAAGGCAGGTAACACAGCACCACTGTCCTGTGCTCCTCTAACAGGAAAATCTGCAGCTCAGTATCCATCCAATCAATGCACTCACCAGACTCCCAGGATCACCCCAGGTTCAGCTCTAATGTAGAAATTCACCGTGTGAGGAATCTTTGACTCTGGTTTCTTTAAATCCACAAGAAATGGGGCTTTGACTGAAAAGTAGAAATTATTATCAACTCCTAAAATCAAATTCCATATCTTTTAATCACGATCAAAAAACCAAAAGGAGGGCCAGCCCGGTGGCGCACTGCTACAGTGCGCCGCTTGGGAGCGCAGCGGCGCTCCCGCCGAGGGTTCAGATCCCACATACAGACCGGTTCCGCTCACTGGCTGAGCAAGGGGCGGGCGCAGCACCGAGGGTTGCGATCCCGTTGCCGGTCCCAGTCCGGTACGGGCGCGACACTGAGGGTTGCGGTCCGTTGCCGGACACGAAAAAAGACAAAAAAGAAAAAAAAAAAAAAACCAAAAGGAATTAGCCTTGTAGATTAACAGGTTTCTAAGGTGCAAGCTACTCCACTAAAGTAGCAAAGTATTTTATTTTATCAACTAGAACTAGCCCATGGAAGAGTTGCAAAAAAAAAACCTATAGCTAAATTTTAAAATAGCATCAGTATGGTAGCCCATAACAGAGTATTATGGAATCAATCCTTGTTTTTGTCTCAAGCTAAAAGCAGAGAAGACCATTCTCCTAAAAAGGTAAAAGGGCCTAGAAGGAAATAAGAGTATTCTGCTCCTTAAATGAAACTTAACCATTAGCCATAAGCCAAGAAATGTCCAGGATAGACATATACCTGGGGGCATGCAGGTATGTGCTAGAATGACTGTGTTACATTAACTAACAAAGTATGCAGCAGAAAAAACACAGTAGAAAAGATAGATTCCTCTTTCTCTCTCTCTCTCTCTCTCTCACATCGTCTTCAGAGACAGACAATACAATATGCAGTCAGGTATCCATATTAACAGCTAATTTGAAGATTGAACTCCTGAATTGAAACCCCACCCACAAGGCTATTTGTTTCTATCCACAACAGATTGCAAGGATTCTTGCTAGACCCCAAAGTCAGTATTAAATAGGTTTCAGACAGCTTAAGTCTAGCCACAATTGTATAACTGACATGCCTTTTTTCATTATGTTGTAACTTTAAGGACAGAGCGTTCTTTATTTGGGAAAAGCTTTGCAGGCAAATTCATGGAAGGTATATACTTACAAAAGTTAACATAAATTAGCATGTCCATCAGAGGAGGGAAAATGTGTTCTTTTAATGATTTACTAGTAAAGCTGTTGTACAGAGCAGCAATTTTTCTTCCAAGGGTTGAACAGGAGTTTGGAAAAGATCTGCAAGATATTGGGAAACAAACAAGTTTTTTAAAAATCAGTCCAAGTTTTGTCTTGGTTTGTTTTTTTCTCTTAAAATCCAAATCAAACTTCAGAGACTAACACTGGGAATTTCAGGTAAGTTGGCATTGAAGCAAAATCCTTTACGCAACTACACGTAATTTTCTATAGGATGGGTCAGGACTGGGCACTAAGGGGGAAGCAGGTAAGGAAAGCAATAAGGCAGGGCCCCAACCAGTCACTGAAAAAGCCAGGGCATGACAGGGACTGGAGGGGAAGGGGCGACGGATGCACCAGAGTCAGGCTTGTTCCTTTAGTGTAGCCCCTTAGAAGGCCAAGGCTGGACCCCAAAGTCATCAGTAAACAGGATTCAAACAGTTTAACAGGTGCCACAGTTTTTAATTTTATCATAATTTAGAGCTATACATGTTAGCTATTGTTATTATTAGTTTAAAGCAGTGAGTGAATAATCACCAGATCCCCTTGCTCCTGGTTGGGTCTTACAAAGAAATGAGCCAACAAGAGAAGACCCCCACTTCTGAGGTGACATCCCTGGAAGAGAAGGACCCATGAGAGCAGGGTGGGGATCAGGGGAGGACCTGGAGGGGCCACAGCAGTTCTGGAGCCTGGTCGAGGAGTGTGGTGGGGGCCATGCACACCTTGCTTATTCTACTGCTTCCTATGACATAAACCACCCAGTGCTGGAGCCATTAGCAGATAAGCGACGGTATTTGTCCACAAGGGGTCACTAATGCCACCTCTATCTCAAGCCACAAAAACTGGAAGCAGGAGGTGATGACAGTGATCTCATGTATCCCTTGTCTCTCAAAGGTAAGAGATACTCTTGACCCTCATGAGATCACTGTCATCACCTCCCGCTTCCAGTTTTTGTCCACGTCATCCATTAAATAAACCCCTTTCTTCATTGTGAGCAGCCAGTGTCAAGACCTGCTCCATGTAATCAAATCGTGAGGTCGAGGAGGGGGCGGCTAGAAAGCATTTTTGATGAACTGTTTCCCCTGCCCTGATTTTTCTGCTAGACCGCGGGAATTTTAGAAGATAATTATCACCTTGGCATTGCAAATGAGGAGACTGAAAAGTTAAGTAACCTTTCCAAGGTCACAAGCCAATGAATAGCAGAGCCATTCTGTCTGTCTGTTGTACCGAGTCTGTCTGATTTCAGAGTCCTGTGATGAACTGCAATGAGCGGTCGTAGTCCTGGTGAGTTTTACTTGCCATCCATGTATGCAAATATGAACAGCAGGAACAAGGCTGCCTCTGGCAGAATTCTGCTCTTAGAGAATCTTGTGATAAGTCCCCTTCTCCCTTTCTGCACCCTTGTTCCCTCTCAGGGTCCCTTCCTCCTCCACCCACCACTACCTTCTCCCTTCTTGCTCGTGTATACTAAGGAGCCCTCTGCTAACAAAGTCATCAAGAAAGACTCCCCCAAACATTAATTATCCCATAAGTGTCAATGACTTAAAAATCAGAGCACTTATATATGTTCGGAAGCAGCATGAAGGGAGAAGATAATGAACCTCTGGTGGATTTCCAACAGTTCTGCAAGAAGTGAAGAAGCTATGTGGGCTAAGGGCAATGTATAGCTCTTCAATACATCATACATGGGCAATTGCCTACTCCTAAAATCAGCAAGAAAGAAATGAAAATGACGGTTTCATAACACTTTAAAATAGCCCCATGAAGGCGGCAGGAAGAAGAGAACATTGTTGTTCTAATTTTAGAGATATGAAATCAAAATCCAGAGGAGCTACTTGGAGCCACAGCTCAAGCCAAAATGGGCAGAACTGAGCCCCAATCTGAACCGCTACCCTGCCCTCTAGATGGCTGTCCCTGCTTTCCTTCTCCTGACTCCCCGCACTCACCCCACCTACCCTGTTAGTCTCCCGCTAAGTTACCCTTTGATGGTCTGCTTGAGAAGCAGAGGCAGTAGAAGGAAATATGTTATTGTTTTTAAGGAATAATTCATATCGGACACTTCTCTCAAATAGCTCAAGGCACTTCTATGAGAAGCCCTGTGGGAGGAGAACAGAGTGACCAGATCCCTCAGAGCATCAATAATGCAAAGCCGCTTCTTTTAACTAGGGAGTTGTCAATTTGATTTCACCCAGATCAGTAGGGGATCAAAAGTCACCAGTGGCTAATAGACCTTATTTGAGCGGAGGATGCAGTTTCAGCCCAATCCCCTGAACAGCCAGCCACATCAAACAGCTGCCTTGGTGCTTTGGTGTTCTTTCGCCTGCCCTTTGATCAGCTGCTGCTGAAACTGTACAGTGTCCGACGGGGGGCCACAGGGCCTAACTGTGTAACCTGGCAGAATGGCAGAGTCTGAGCTGCCACAGCGCAAATTATTCATGCTCAGCAGTGTCTGCAAACCAACTTTCAAAAGCTCAAATCTAACCACATTTGGCAAGACGTCATTCCAAATATTAAGACATGCTGCACGTCCATCCTATGTGCCCATTCATTCCGCCAACATGAGTTGATCACCAAGCACCAGGTTACGCCTTCCCAACCAAATCCCCCGCTTCCTTCACATCCACTCAAGTATTTCTTCTTGGTCAAATCCCCTCTAGAGAACTCTTCCCACAGTGACCTTTCCACTCTTTTCACTCTTCCCATTAATTAAGATCAGGGCCTCAGTTTGACCCTTAATTGCTTTCTGGTAGTTTTCCCATTACTAGCCCTGTCTTCCCTATGCTATGCCAGGCCCAGATGACAAGAACCACATGGCACATCATATTTCTTTTACATACCACTCTGTCTAGCACAAGTCTGAGCTCAATAAACATTTGTTGACCCAAATATTTGAAAACTGACAGAAAAGTTATTTCTTTCATAAGGGAGAAGGAAGCAATGCTTTTTGGTTGCTTTGGGGGGATGAGGTAGGGTTTCATTCTCTTTTTTGAATTACAATTGAAAATGAATCAATGTGAGCTCCACAAGAGCAGGGATTTTTGCCTGTTTGTTTGTTTGTTTTTGTTTTTGTTTTTACTGCTGTGTGCCCAGGCCTAGACTAGTGCCCCATAGATAGCATATAACCAACACTGTGTAAAGAATGAATATCATGGAGGTTTTCTAAGCGCTATCGAAAAATGAGACGACCTGGGGTGAAACAGGGAAATGAGGCAAAACATAGCCCTTTGGTTTCTCTCAATGTCTTTCCTGAGCATATTTTTCATTTTTTTTAATTTAAACAAAACCAGTTGCAAGTGGAGACTTACTCTTCTAGGACGACCCACCCTAAGCAGCAACTATATCTAATGAAATATTTGTAAAATAAATAATTAGATTCCTAAGGCATTAAAAAAATAACCACTGAAAATATCGTATGATTAAATGTTCTCCTTGAGTCTCACAACACATCACAATAGACCCAGGATGACAAGCCAGTACCAGGCGCACAGCAAGCCCTCTGTGAATTGTTGCTAATCTAAACTAACCTGGCTCCAAGAAACAAAAAGGATTCAGGATGCTGGAAATGGGTCTGGGCCTCAGCCTCAGCACCTTGTACATTAGATCAATAATCTGCTCAGATGAAGAAATGCCCTAGTATTTTCTTCTTTCAGGAAGCACCTCTTTTTTTTTCTTTTTTGTCTTTTTTCGTGACCGGCAACGGATCGCAACCCTTGGTGTTGCGCCCGCACCTCACTCAGCCAGTGAGCGGCCGGTCTGTATGTGGGATCCGAACCCTCGGCGGGAGCGCCTTACAGTGCGCCACCGGCCGGCCCCAGGAAGCACCTCTTGAGATGTATTTTTTACTAATTAGTAAGACAAGTAAGTAAGAGAGGGCCCCCAACTCCCCATCTCTTACTGCATTATCAACAAAGTGGGTTGTTCTCTAACAGTGTGAACCACAGCTTTGATTCTCTACCTAATAAATGCTCTTTACTGCCAAATAAATGTTAATCGGCCATTAATTCTGTAGAGAACAAGAAAGTCAGAGACAGTAGATTCTGGCTTTCCCAGAACACCCATATCTGGGAGGGAAGTCCTGTGAATGTGGAGTTTGAAGAGTATAGCCAGGACATTCTGCCTGGAGTCCAGAAGCAACACAGAAGGGGAGGTGTGGGTTCTGCAACCTGGCCAGTGTGGAGCTGCTCTCTGCGCTGAGCTACAGAAGCAACAGAAGAGAGAGGATCCCTGTTTATCATCATCTCTATGGGCATTCCAAAGTGAAGTCTCCGTGTCTTGGATGTGATTCTTGGACATTTTGTAATCATCAAAAATTAAACAAAAGGAAGAGAAAGAAGAAATGTAAACAAAAATGCCAATACCTTCCCACCCAACAAAACAAAGCAAAACACCTATCTCCTGGGTCCAGGGTCTCCGACCAATACCTGGCTTCCATGCAAACAAGACTGGCAATATGTTGCTGGTAGATTCGGGTAACTTATGATTACTGTTTAAACCAAGGATTCATGGGAGGAAGAAAGTAAAAAAACAAAATTAAAACAGCAACAACAAAACACCTACCGATATACAGACATTTCAGATTTAAATAATGTAAGAATTTGACGCAGGTAATGCCAAGTTATGGTTTTAATGTACTACACATCTTTAGCATAATGGAGGTGTGTTACTTAATACTGTACAGGTCAGAGAGCTAGGCAGTGACTTTCAAATCCTTTTCCACCCACACAGATAGGTTCTCGACCTGAGAGGACGCCGTCCAAGATGACAACGTATATTACTACTGTTCTATTATTAGTATTATTTAAATCCATCCTGTATATTAGTAAAATGGTCAGATAAGAGAGATTGCTATAGGAACCTGAGCCATCTGTCTGGAATCTCCATTTCAGAAGCCCCCAAAAGGCCCAAGTTACAAGTTCCTGACAAGTCAAACCCAGGAGTCTCTCCGGCCCGGGTAGGGGACAGCCTAGGATAAGGCTGTCCAAAGAGCCCCGGAGTTCGCAGGGCTCCCGAGACCGCGGGACACCCTCCCCTCCCCGGAGCCA